AAATTCCCCAGTTGATGTGGTACAGCTCCTGTGAAAGTGTTATCCTGAAAACTGAGATACTCCAGGTGTATAAGCTTTCCAAGCTCCTCTGGGATCACACCTGTAAGATGGAAGTTGCCGTAGAAATCCAAGTACCTCAACTTTGTGCAGTTTCCTAGGGACCTGGGAATTGTGCCTCCGAGACCATTGCTATTAGACCCTCCAGAGTTTGGATACTCCAAATCTGCGTTCATGACAGCTCCGAGATTTAGAATCCGTAGTTCCAGGAGCTGCCCGAGCTCTTCTGGAATCGTTCCATTGAACCTTTCTCCCTGACAGCCAAGGTTCAGTACCTGCAGGCTTGTCAGATTTCCCAGCTCGTTAGGAATGCTTCCGTAGAGCCAATTGGTTTCCAGGTTCAGGATTCGTAACCTCGAGAGCCGTCCTAATTCCGGAGGAATCTGGCTTTCCAGATGGTTTTGATCCAGATGGAGCTCTTCCAGGTATGAAAGATTGCTCAACGAAGGGCCCAACGAGCCAGTCAAATCCAGCGAAGACAAGTGGAGAGCAGTAACATGCAACTGACGATTGCAAGTGACTCTGGTCCACGAACAGTACTCTGATCGCTTGCCAGGAGTCCAATCATCCAAGGCACCCTCCGGATAGTTCCCGATCCCGTCCTTGAATGCCAGAAGGTCATCAGCTTCCCTGAAACAGGAACTTGACAGCATAACTCAATCTGAAGCAGAAATAATTATTTGGTAATACGAGGTTTCATTTGCTCATTCTGGTAAATTTGGTCACAATCTGGAAAATATCAATCGTAGAATGGAGCCGGAGTCTTTCACTTACCCAAAGCTAACTTCCAGCAAGGAAACTGCGTGTGAGAGCACATGGGACCTGGAGTCGGTTTCATGATCACTATCATGATCATGAAAATATCCCTCTCGAATCTGATGAATCTTTGACGCATGTAGCTGTAATCGTCGATGGTCTAGATGATCTAGTTCCCTTTCCCTGAACTGTGCTGCACGAAGACGCTCGCCTTTACGGCTAGATGGGCTGAACTTTCTATCGGACTCGGAAGATGTTGATCGGTACAAGAGCGAACTAGAGGCTTCTGCTTGCCAGTTCTCTCCGATAGAGGAGCCAACGAGAAAACATGCCAGAAGGACAATGGAATGACCTGGGGCCATATTGGCATCAATGTTACGGTGGGATTGAAGGTTGGACAGATGGGATTCAAGTCTGGCTTTAATAGATGCTGCTCCCAGAGCCCAGCATTCTCTGTTTCTCAAGCAAGTGGATGATTTGTCAACAAAGAGTTAATGAGCCTTTTACCATTTAGATGTGTTCATTGACTCAGATAAGATGCACCCGCGAGCCTTTGGACTTTTGCACCAGTCTAAATTTGTAAGCATGAAGGGCAAAGTAATGAAGACCCCAAGTTTTATGAGCTCAGCAGGAATACAGACTGCCAGCTCAAAGACAGTTCGGTCGGGATCCCCAACACCTCTGATTAGATATATTGATTGAAAAAGAAAGTCGCATTTCGTAACAGCAAAAAGCTTGGAAGACGGCAGTCCTCTTTTGTTGCCTTTGAACTTCCCGAGTCTCCACCAGACTCGGAAAGTTTACTCTCGGAGCTTTTCCATCTGAGCTATCGTCGCGTTTACGCTTTGAAACATTGTGCCGAGAAAAGCGTCGTGACTGTAGTATCATTATTGAAACAGTGTTAAAACTTACTCTTTCGCAACACGCACAGATACCCAAAGACCAAATATGAAGAGCAGCGGCTAGACGGGAGAATTATCTTGCTTTTACATACACTCCATCGACCGGCCGGTCTCGTAGCTCCCCATGAGTCTTTTCTGGCTCTTGATTCAAAGAACAGGGCCTGGTTCCAGCGACGCAGATGTGCTAGGTCTATTAACAGTGCTGCAGCAGTATAGCACATGCATATACAGCATGTCAAATACAATCTCACGTCTCAGTACTAAATCCAACTTTGGAGAGGCACTGTGATTTAGGACTCTTTATTCACTTCCTGTTCTGCAAGTACTGCTTTCTACGATGCTAACTTCGAGAGATGAGTGATTATAAAGACAAAGAGGTAGTGGAAGAGCAAAAGGGCTTTAACTGTCAACCTTACGTCGAACTTCAAACTAGTAATTCCAATCTTACAGAAGTGATGTGGAAGCAATGATCCAGTCTCGAACACGACCACTATATCCAACCGCGAGTTCCAAAAGTACTTGTAGAGTTTTTCACTGTTGGAGGACTTTTAAGTCGTATTTCTTCATCGATTAACACGAAAAGTATTGTGTATGTCGAAACGCAGACGGTGCTACTATCAATGATAAAATATTTGGGATCGCCCATTTGAATTTCTTGAAGATGATGTAATGCGCCAGGTGGTTCATGCGTCACACCTTTCCATGTAAGGCGGTGAATTCATGGTAATTTGTTTTCTTCCTTCTTTCAAGGCCGTATTGGAACAGCGGGAAGCCAAAAGAGCATAGCAAAATAAAATTACATGTATAAGAAATTTGAAGAACTTCAGAGTCCAAAAGTGGATATAAAATACCAAGTCATACAGCTGCAAGAGCACACAGTTAAAACCCGAAGGTCAAGGATTCCGATGTCAAATAATTTCAAATCAGAGAAAACCCCATAAAACGGACGGAGCTCACGTCCATGAATAAGCGTAAAACATCTTCATACTCACTTCCACGTGATATAGAGATGCGACAATGAGAGTACTTCCAAAGCAAAAATATGCTCTGATAAAACAACGATGAGCTGATTGTTTCCAAGCTTCTTGTGGCATCATATGGTTGAGCTGAAGAATCAAAGGTGTGATAGCATTCGTCCGAGGCCGACGAGCAGAATTATACTCTTGGCATATGTTTTCATCTTCATCATGTTTTGCATGCATAGTTGGGTTCGCATTGAAACTAGCATGTAGTACACGTGCTGTGAACCGTGGTGATCTTTGCTCAATGCTGCCTACCTTGTCGTGGAATTTTTTTTTCTCATTTGAGAAAGAACCTGGCTGAATCCATTTTTAAACATTAAAGCTTCTGGAAAAAATAAATGCAAACCTTGCATTAAACACTTCGAACGAGAGTCCTATCACAATCAGATCTTGGCTTCTTCATCCTCTTTGATATTCCGAATCGGGACACTACTCAAACTACTGCTTCGATGTTATTCAGGACAATGTGTGTCACATCCATCCTTGCTTTTGGAGCTGCAAGACATGAAGATTTCTGCTCAAATACGTCAATTTGCAACTTCAAGAATCTAATGTTTAAGCTCTATATTCTCTACCCGTAATTAAAGTTCGTAAAGCTCAACTTGGTTGAAGACAACAGCATCGCCCATCCAACGGTCACTGTGCTGGCAGAACGACTTTCATTCTTTTTCCCGTCCTTTCCAAAGTCATCTCCATTTGTCGAACAGGTCTTCCTTGAAATTCGCGATTTCTCTCCAAAGTCATCTCCATTTGTCGAGTATACCATATGTATTTGTTTCACTTCGAGAAAGAGAAGATAATACTGCACGTCACTGACGGAAACAAAGTTCCACCCTTGCCATTGCATGGAAGTCCTTTCCCTAGTATCGCAACTTTTGACAGACCGCCGCACCGGATGGAAAATCTTGCCAAACATTCTGCACATGCTCCAATGAGAGATTATTAGTCCTCTCCAACATGGCTGTGTAGTTACATGAACACAGTAAATTTACGTATATTTTAGGCAAAATAAATGTAAATTGTAGTTGACTCGATGGGAATTAAAGCTGATTCCATGGATCCAAATCTGATCTCTATCTTCAGTACTTGAAAGAAATGTAACTTCTATCTAATTGTGATTACAACTGCTGGAGCGGATTATGACAAGTGTGCAGTCTCATTGTTCACCGTGAATGTTTCTGAAGATAACAGTAATTCTGCGATTCATCAGCAGCTTGTCCGGGTCTTCACTTATGTAGGTCAAGAAGAAACTGTTCTAGAAAAAATATCGATGGAGTGATTATACAAATGTACAAGTCTGTTGACATTTGTAGATGTTGCAATCCATCAAGTCAATCAGTACTAGACCTGAAGTACCAATAGAAACGTTTACTTATTCGTGCCATGGAATTGCAGTACTCGTACACGTGATCAAGGTCATTCACATAGCACTCTCTAGCAGTTCCGTGCTCAGGTCCTGAGCACTCCAAGCACTTATCCTACTAGTTTGGCTTGTGCTTTTATGGGCACATGATATGATATACCTTTGGCAGTGCACCATGCTCTCATGTACATACATTGGTCTGTCAAATGTCAAAAACAATTATTAGGCCTCATAGCCTCAACGACGATAGCAGAGTATTACAACTCTTGAATGTATGCATGGTCACCTCTTTGGCCACCTCATTGGCATGTTTGAATATAATTCACTCATTCCTTAATGAATGAATGAATTAAATCGAATCCATTTTTGAATAAGTGAGATCTCGATTTATGTTTCGAATGGAGAAGAAGGGAAAATGCTTTTGTTGAGAGTGATCCGGAATAACTTTGTAACACCTTGTTCGAACCTGAGGATTGAAGACAAGGCCTTCCTCAGAAAGAGGCGGAATCTCCTATTTACGTATGAAGAGGAAGAGCCTGTAGTATTTTTGTCTTCTCTCCTTACAACAAGAAGGCCTTCAGAATAATAAGAATTTTGGCAGATTCTTACTCCCTGTATGTTGAGCGCGAAACTGGTTTCCATTCGATTCACTGCGCTCGAGACTTAGCCTGAGGGAGACGAGGACCTTTGTTGCGATGAACATGCATCCTTACTTAGGAACTCAAATGCAGAAGTCATATCCGGAATGTTTGGGCGTGCACAAAGGATCGACTCATAGAATGAAGGCAAGATGGCAGAACCATTGATACGAAACAAAAGGGACTAAATTTCCCAGCACGCAGGGATGAGGAGAGAAACGAACTCAAGATATATCTCTCCCGCCTCTCTTCTTAAATATACTGGATGTAAAATCTAGGATCTAGTGTTAACTGATGGTCTAGAACAAGGATCACCAAAAACACTCTCCACGTTTTCAAACTGTTTATATAGTTCGAGAATCTAGGGGCAAAAAACGTGTCCACGGGATATAGAACTTGCGATAGCACTACCAATTGATCCCGGCGGTTGCTCTGAGCGTATTGAACCACTCACTATTTTGCTCGTCGCAACATTCTTCCCTGAACCTAGTGCACTCCATCTCCTCCAACCTCCGCCGGCGTTTAGTTTTCTCCGCACTCCATCTCCTCCAACCTCCGCCGGCGTTTAGTTTTCTCCAAGTATTGTCCGGAGACGTGTTATCTAAACTATTTCATGCTGAGGTAAACTCGGAACGTCTTATCTAAACTATTTCAAGCAGAGTTATTTTCTGAAAGACGATCAGAACAAACGCTGGCATCAATTGGTCGTACCATGGAAAGTTCCATATCCCGTGGAGAAGTTTTTTGGAGAAGTTTTTTGGCCCCTACATTCTCGACCTATAGACATAGTTCTAACGCGCTTCTCATTACACGGAAAATCTAACGCGCCTCTCATTCCTCGGAATTGTCACACCGGAATACCCTCTTAGTATGCATTTACACAAGTCCTCGTCCCAGTCTTACGCAATTCCCATGTCCTTTAAAGACATAGTCTCATGATCCTCTTCTTCCGGAAAATACACAGGGGCGCGCTTCTGCTTCTTCGAGCCACAAACATCTTCCTCAAGAATCCCTTCCCACCACGCATCATTGTGTCATCGAAGCTCATCCACTTGAGTGATATAAGCAGCCATCCCGCACTGAAGAGTCGTCTTGCGGCGACCGTTGAGCTTGTTATCTCCAGTAAGTCTCGCGTTCTTCGCGAGTCTTTCTGCCAAAAAGTCCAGAGCCTGATTTTCCAGGTCCCATAATGGCCAGCATAGCACCCGGTTCTGCATACCCGTCAAGATGTGGAGCAAAACTTGGTGTCGGATTTGCTACCCACGGCGACCTCCACCCACAACTCTTTCCTCGTCAATCTTGCAGGCATCTCCGTTACAGTTTCTTTCTTTATCTTGTTACAGTTCCAAACCCTACTACTGAGAGGGCTCAGCCCAACAGGAGGCATCTTCTTGCCTTTGCTACCGATGCCATCGTTCGAAGAGCCCACCTTACCGATCTCCACTTGGCTAGTGAAAACCATCGTCACTTCCTGGGATGCGCGACGAGACTCAGAGCAATGAGGTAAAGTATTCGTCTTATGTACAACCTTACACAGGCCAAACCTGTCCGATGGCGGTCAAGTGTAAATCAGTTTAAGGTCTTCGTGGGTAACAACGCAAACATGGACGGTAGTCGTTGCTAGTCGTTACAGCTCCTTTGGTATCTGATCATATTCACGAGAATCCTTCGGTTTCGTCCCTTCTGAATGCATGCAAATCTGAAGAGTAGACAGTTCCTCCCCCGACGTTGCAGTGGAATTCTCTGCTGGAGTCTGTTGAGCTACCAGACTGACTGCTCGTGGGCAATACAATACACTCAACAACAATATATCACGTACTGCTGCCACTGCGGCGGCCAACTCACAAACATTCTAAGAAAGAATGGTGAAACGATATCGGGAGGTGACCGGGTTGACCATTTCCATCTCCGTATTCTTTCACTCCCACCACTCGGAGTAATCTTCGACTCGCGCAAATCCCTAATCCTTCCTGCTCAATCGCGATGCCCCTCTCTCATGGATCCCTCGTTCCGGCACTCATCCCACTTGCACATCGCCTTCTTTAACATACTCTAAAATCTCCTAGTGTCATGAAAATCTAGCGAAAGTACAATTCATTCTTTCTCAACAATTGGTTACGGGTGGGTGAGTTTGTTCCATCAATACTGTACCTAAAATAATCATTGAATTGTGTAACTATTAAGATAATATATTTTTTCAATTTAAAAAATTTATGTCTATATCATTTTTAATTTATAATTTGTGTATTTAAATTTAAAAAACAACTAAATTTATTTTTTTATCATTCTATAATATAAAAAATATATGTGAATATCACTTTCAATTCACAACTGACGTATTAAAATTAGAAAACTATAATTACGAAATTGAATGAATTTATTTTTATAATGTCAATTCAATGCGTATATATCATTTTTAATTTATATTTTAAATATTCGAATTAAAACATTATAATTCCTAAAATAAATTAATAATTTTTAAAAAAATTTCTGTAGTATCATAAAATATATGTGAACGTCATTTTCAATTTATATTTTGAGTATTCAAAATTGATTATTAAGATTAAAAATATTTTTATATTAAAATCTTTATAGAATTAAAAATATATGTGAATGTCATTTTCAATTTATATTTTGAATATTTAAATTAAAAACTATAACTATTAATATAATTAAATATTGGTTTATTAAAATTTTTTATTATTTTTATTACAATTTATTGCTAGAGCACAATTAAAATTAAGATAAAAATTTAATTAAGTAACTTCTTTCTTCACAAATTTATAGTATATACATCCTGGCGAAATTTGAAACAAGATACAAACAAGACAAGTACTTGAAATTCCAGTATTAAATTATAACACTATTTTTGAATAATCAAATGAATATGAATATATATATATATATGTAATATTATCAATAACACAAAAACTTATTGGAAGTTTAACGTGAAGAACAAACATAAGCTTTAGGAAAAAACGTTAAAACTTCAAATTTTTAGAAATTTTTTACATTGTAATAAAGAAAAAAAATCAAATTTATTTCTGTGGAGCAAGATTATCCAAAACATGTAATACTCACTATTTATTTTGAATTGTGTAGATCAATCTGTAAAGTATGATGATCTTTTCTTTTTATATGTTATTATATATAAAATCAGGTCAAAACTATTCACTTATTACTCTAGACATAAAATATGTGGAGCAAAATATGTCATTATCTGCTTAATGAATAGTGAGTAGCAATGGATAATTCACTAAAATCAATATTCTTGTAAGAAAAAAAATCTTCAAATTGCAAATAATAGAGAAATAATTTAATAATAATAATAATAATTAATAGTAATTATTATTAATTAGTAATCATAATTTGGGCCACAAAGAGAAAAAAAGGACTATTCTTCATACACTTCAAGCTTATACACAAGTCAAAAAATTATTCCAAATGCAGCAATAAATGCAATTTTTTACAACCCAATCATTGTGAGTTTTCACAACAAGTCTTTACCACTACAAAGATTTCAGAAATGAGATAAAATGAACTGCTGATCCATAGCAAAGTGAATAGTTTTCTTCATATATAAAATGAATGAAATCATGAAAATTGAGTATTACAATTCAGGTTTGGTATGACTATATCACATGAGCTTCTTGCATGAAGTAGGACTAGCAATAAGCTATATGCATCTATGTTCAATGGTAGACTTTAAGTAAGCTGGAGATAGATTATGTAATCTCGATCTTGTGTGTATTACGTAAATAGAGTAGTAAGACATAGATAAATATTCGGTTGACTATTTTTTTGTTAGTTGATGATGGACTTGCTCGATCTGTGAATGCGTCACCGAGCACCAGAATTTCACGGCGATGTCTCAAGTCACAAGAGACAGTCTCTGTTTTGAAACGGCATGACGAGAGCGGTGAGGAACGTAAACTGCATAATTCGATATTTTTGTTATGTGTCCGTTGATTCGGATCCGTCTGCATGACAGGGAGAGCTTACCAACGTTTACTCTGGCTGAATCCAGACAAGGGCCTTATCCAGCTACCAATTTTGGACCCAGGAGATACCAGCAGCTAGTTCAGCTCTGGAAGTACAACCATCATTCAAAACATTTAAATTGTTATCTATGCTTTAGCACGATAAGTACTGATGCATCTGTACTTTCGACAGTTAATAGCCTCAACGTATCATTCCTTAGCTAAAATCGGAAACCAACCGTCTAACCCGATGGAGTATACCATTAGAAAAAATTTGATACGAGTTGTTACGATTTTTTTTAAAACAAAAATTCAAATTCTATTTTTGCGGTTGAGATTTTGCTCTGAATCCTCGGGATGTTTTTTTTAAGTCAGCCTGGTGATGAATCAATATCTTTTTAAAGATGCAGCATTCATTTGCAAGTTATGTCGCTGTAGAAAGCTCGCTTTTATCAGCAAACCAACTTTTCATACATTGTGAAATTAGTTCAGAAATCAAAAACAGCTACAAATTGTGTATCGCGCAGTGTTTGATGTCTGAGCTAATTTCAAAAACGTGCATCGTCAGCCAAGTGAAAACAATGGGGTCCAGCAATCGGCTTTTATAATCATAGCGGTCACTAGCACTAGCACTAGATCAAATTGATTTAATTGCTATTCTGGCTGTTGTCCTCAAGATACCGACCATGCACTAGCACTAGATCTGATTGATTTAATTGCTATTCTGGCTGTTGTGAGCCAAGTCCTCAAGATACCGACCATGCATTTGCATGTGTTGAAAACCTTTTGTAGAATTGATGTTATCCCAAGAGTATACGATTGCGAAAAACATGAGTTTACGTGCAGAAAATGGTACTTTTTTCGTGGAGGAATATGATTGTTGTGCGTCGGAGTACAAGGGGCCGATTCTGGACGTCGAGCTGAAGTATAACGCTTCCGCACCTGTTCGAATCCGGAGGTCTATGGATTGTTTAGGCGAAGATGAGGCGTCGGAGTACGGGGAGAAACTGCGGAAGGGGATCTTGCTGATGAAGGCTTTGACGGCGGATGAGCCCCGCTCGTTCGCTCAGCAGGCTAGACTTCAGTCCGGTTATGCTACAGGATTCTTCGTGACGGGTTCAGAGGGTTTCGACCGTCCTTCTCCTCACCAGGCACGGACACTTACTCAGGATCAATGGGGTCTAACAAGGGTCCCAATGCACGATGGCTTACTCATGACAGTCCTGATACTCAGCCTGAGAACAATGGGATCGAACAATAGGCCTTTATCACTATCACTTCCTTTAATTGCTACTCTGGCTGCTGGGAGCCAAGGCGTCAAAATATTGACGAAGTATGCGCATACCCGGCGATCTGAAGGTAGCGTGTTCGATCCGCGCTCTAGCTTTTGCTGGGAATATTTATATCGCGCTTGATCCACGTTCACGCTTTTGCTGGGCATATCTATATAGTTTTTGCTGAGACTCCTTAATAAATTCAAATTGTGATCCAATCATATGTAATCTAAACAATGATTACAAGCTCCTCACAACCCTGACATTTCCACCCAAAAGTGACATCGAAACATGGACAAACTGACAAGTTTAGGGTTTTCAAAAACCCTAAACTTTAACGTCACAATCTATTATCACTATTTGGATTATATATATTACAGTTTGAATTTATTAGTTCTTCTCATCAAAAGCGATATAGATAAAAAGTTTGAGCGGATCAAACACACGACCTTCAGATCTAGGCTTATACTAAGTGCAACTAAGCTAGGGGGTCGATAACCTTCTACGAGATTCACAGGATCCCAAAAGGATACGATTGCGAAGAGCATGAGGTCAGAGTTCTCTATCACTAATGTCGGCTCTACGCATCAGAATTCTTGTCTTCTTTTATATATTATTCAGAATAATGGCAAAAATAAACAGCAAACTTCGCTTTGGTACTCATGTCATTTTTGTACACTGGATGCTTACATGCTTCGTCTGCATCGGGTTATACTTCGAGGCAGCCTGGGCAAGTCTGTGTGGGAGTGGCTGGAGCCGAAGCTGATACTTAAGCACAAGAACAAAGAGGCCGTTCCCTTCGTTCAAGAACCCACCGTCCTAAGGCTGTAGCCATGTACAGAAGTATTCCTCTAAGAAGCTCATAAAGTCTTTCTATCCTGTTGGAGGTCAAGCGGGTGTATCCATACCCTGAATATTATCTTCATACTCTTCACCTGTGGATATGGAGGTCCGAGTACTTCTTCCTCCTCTTCTCACTATACGGGAATGAATATTAACGTTTCAGTCTTCCCATGCAAGTATCTTTCAAGCATACTTGTAATTTTTCAATTTTCAAAGTTTTATTTTTTAATCTCCAAAATTATCAACATATTAATATGATCATTCAAATCTCAAGGTTCAAGAAAAGTTTAAAGGCTTCAAACATGTTATACATATAGAGCATTGAAATAATGAAACTAAAAATTAAATATATTTTTATCTTTTTTCATATATACATATATACAAATATCAAACACACTCCATTTGACTACTACGATTAACAAAAAACCATCAAATAACTTGTACCATTGTATAAGAGTTTGCTTTACTCCATACAAAGAATTTAGAAAAATCTATGAATTTTATTTTTCTTCACAAATCTTACATTTTTTTTATTTAAGAATATCTCATATACATTTTCACCAAAAAAAATGTTTTGACAACATCTATTGATACAAATTAAAAGGAAAGAACAAAACAAGTACACGAAACATGCTTCAAAGTATCTTTGTATAAATATTACAATTTGATTTTTCCTTTTAAACTATCACATCTAACTATTACTTTACAAGCTAAGCAAAATACTTTGCGTGAGATACAACGTTGATGAGGTCGCCATTTCAAAGATTTGAAAGAATTGAATGACGATCTTGTAATGATCTAACATGTTTATTTCAAAAGCTAAGTAGAAGAAATTTTAAACTTTAGCCGGATGATTTAGGAAGCTTCATGGCATGTTGAACTCTTTATTGACAGCATGCATAATGCATGTCCCGCCATTCTTTTTCATTGCCAAGTGACAAGCATTGCTTATAGACTTTTAGTTTAGAAATAAGATTTTAAGTCATATTGTTCCATTCAGAGTAACGTCTCGAATGCAATAGATGCTTTTATGCAGAAAAAGTAGCTAGAGCTAACAAGAATGAATTAAAATTTAGCTGCTTGATAATATCTTAATGTGATTACTGTGATCCTAACAACATTTTCCATACGGGCAAAACTGTTTCTGTTTGATATAGTACTCTTATGCCGAACAAAAACATCTCCATTACAATAGTAAAAAAGAAAGTCAAATACCATTTTTTTTATCATTTGTGCCAACGCTATTAAAACAGATAAAAAAATTTGCAACTTAATAAAAGCTGGTACTTGACATTGACAAGATTTTTTTATTTTCAGGAATGGAAAACTGGTATGACTGATATACGTCTACAAGTGAAAGTGACATCTGTTGAAAATATGACTTGCGCAAATCCAACGCAGACTGTAACCCGATCCTCCATGCTTCCTCTTGTTCATCTCAGTGCCAGACTCCTGTCTTAGCCCGAGATGTCGTTGACACCGTGACTTCGTGACTTGGTATCCACGTGACTTGGTGTCCACGTCCACGTGAGTATTCATTGACTCTGGGTCCCAGAGTCGGTCTTCTACTCTGGACTTATGCCCCTACAGTACTCCCAGACTCTGACTCTGGGAGCAGGGGCATAAGTGCAGAGCAGAAGACCGACTTCTTGAATCTGTGAATCTGTGAATCTTCGTGAATCTTCGTGAATCTGTTCTAATGCTGCAAGGTTTGTGGACTCCATCTGGTACTCCAATGTGAATTGAGTGACTGCCCAGTAGTCCCTGTTCACGTATCTCGATAATCCTTTGCATTTCTCGTTACTCTCGAGGAATTTTCGAGTGCGATTTGTGATGAAGCTTGCAACAAGAAGCACGTCCATGGGGTGCTCGTTGCCGGACGAGCTAGTCCACAATGTGCTGGGCAGGCTGCCTTTGAAGGAAGCGATGGGATTTCGTTGTGTATGCAAAGCTTGGAACGCTCTGTTAATGTCGTGGGACTTTTCACACTCGTTTTGCCGCAAGCCAGGGAAGCTGGCTCCGCTGTATCTGGACGATCGAGCTCTCACCATGTACAATTCCAGCACTAATTCGTGGTTGCAATGCGATCTACATCATGTTCTGTCGTTGAAATATCATCAGGTCCAGCTGGTGGCGTCAGGTGGAGGTCTGCTCTGCTTTCTCGCCAAGAAACTCAATGATCCGAATATGTCGTTCGTCATCTACAACCCTTTCACGCGACAACACCTTAAATTGCCGACGCCATTTGAGTCTGGTTCACGTTTCTGTCTCAAAATCCCTAACTCAGGCAATCTGTTGTGCGGAATCGATGCGAATCTCGAGACAGGGTTTTATAGGTTCGTGTTTTTAGATCCTCGTTCTGCGTACGGTGAAGGCGAAACTTACATCTACGACTCAAGATTACGCTCATGGCGGCTAGGTTGTAAATTACCCTCATCCATCAGGAGGCTCGATGGATTTGCGGAGCCTTATATTCTCTACGGCAGATACACGACTCAATGTCTGACGAACGAGGGAAAATTCTATTGGTTGGTGAATAAAACGGAAGGGCCAACCCTGGACTTGCTGTACATTTACGATGCGAGTCTCGACGCATGGAGCTATGTGTTCTGCCAAGGATTGTGTTCTAACCAAAGGACTGCGTTGGGTACATATGAGACTTTTGTTAGATGTATGGAGCATAAGGGCGAGATCCTCGTGGTTGGAAAACGTGGACGCATGCTTTCGAAGAACCCTTTTTGTTACTTCGAGATTGTCGATACGGGACCTTCGAATTTGGACTCGACTGAGGGTCAGCGGTTATACCTGCAAGAGAAGGCGATGCCTATGGATCGGGTGCTCGACGTGATCATCCCCTTGCAGATCGAAGATACGCAGGAGTTAATACTCAGCTGGGGCATAGGAGCCGGAGACGAAGTTATTTATCTTCTGGAAGCGCAATTGTTTGACTTGGCAAGTTATCCCAATCAAGCCGCCCGTTCTCGAGACGACTTCCCTTTGACTTTCCCGATGGTGCGCTACGAAGAGGTCGATGACTCTTGGACCTTATTGTGCAACTGGAAGATTGTTCACGATAAAGATGTGAGCCTGGGGCCTTCTGCTTCACATGTAGTCTGGGCATTCCAGCCCTCATTTGTGAGCCCTGGGGCGGTTGAGGGTGTGATCAAGCATCCTCACGGGTACAACGATGAGGAGTTGATTTCTCATCGTAGTTTTTGCAGTAGTTTTTGAGAATGTGTAGATATGGAGATCCAAGGTAAATCGTCCATTTAGATCTTTGGTTCTTCTTCAGGAGTATTCGCCTTTGTAAATTTCAAGCTTATGCTCAGTGTTTGTTAAATAACTTATGTTGAATCGTTGAAGTGCTTTTCTGACACCAACTGATCATCGCAAGAGAGTGTTATCAATGAGATTTCGTCTACACGTCTGCATTGACACTATCTTCATCATGGCGAAAAGTGTATGAATCAATATTTGAAGAATTTATTGATGCAAGCAACTCCAGTTCAATATCCAAGGTTTAAATACAGAATCTCCTAGCACACTTGAGTGACAAACACGTGCCCATGTCACAATTCAAATACAATGACACGGCTGGAAAAAAATTTAAATTTTTTGACTATTTCATCATGATACTTTTTTATTATTTTATTTTTCTCGCTTTAGTTTCGGGTGCTCTCGGTATGCGTTTTTAACACCTGTTTCATCAGATATCTCGAAATAAAGGCAAATAATAGGTACCTCACTGGATAAGGGCTTCTTTCTTCGGTTTCAAGTGAGATGAAGAGTTAATGATACAGATTGAATACTCAGATCTCATTTGTTGTTTTGATGTAAAGAAGTACGTAAGTAGGTAGCAAGACAAGCGTAGCACTTGATTAAGTGAGTCCTTGTGTGGCTTTCTGTTAGTGTTATCATTTAATTAGAATGATATGCCGTTGATCCATGTTCATTCCGAAGAATAAGGAAGAGAATTGGGTGTCAACTGTACTTGCATCTCATGGTGTGAAGTTTACATTTCATTACATGAGTGAAGTACGCCATGAGGAGTTTCAAATGGAGGTGAATAGCAACGGTGGAAAGTGAAAGAAATGAAAATTGGGGAATGGATGCACGAGACTGGATTGCTTATGTTGCAAAGCTAAGTTTACAGACTTTGTGAAATTTCAAACCGACTTCCCACCTCCAAATCTGCATTGGTGTGGAACTGCGTGGGACCAACCTCAAGAGGATCTCGGACTTACTTCTTACAAGAATGAGGTCAGGACAAACAACTAACTTGGGACACATACAGAATTAATCCTCCCAATAGTGTCTCTTCTGATGAGTGAAGTAAAGTTCCAAAACCATTTATTTGTAACTTATCGAGCAGATTTATATGAACAGTAGGTCACTATTGGCAATATCGGAGGTAGTATTTCAATCATGATCTCAATACATAGTGGTGAGAAAGAAGAATGTGACATACGTTTATTTAAAGGTCTATCTCAACAATTTACTCTTTCAGGCTTCAGTAAAATACTTCGCTACATATATTATCATCAATTGTTTTATTTAGATTTTTATGTATTAATCCGAATTCAAACTCAATTGTAGCGCCTACATTAATCATCGTGAACAATCCAGAATTGCAAATGAAGGCGATCTTGAAACCAAACAACACATTTATAGAATTTTCTAGAATGGATGTAATGTAACATAAGATTTCTATGCACTTTCTTTTAAAAGTGACAACTCCCAATAGCGACATCCAACTCTAACACCAATTTATGTTAATATTGGAAGGCTATACTCAAGGTTACTCACCTCCCAACAGTGATATTCAACCCTAACACCAATGTATGTTACTATCTGGAGGTTATATTCAAGGTTAGGCATTTTCCTCTTGTGAATAACACCTTCCAATATTGACGTAAAACTCTAGCACCAATCTACGTCACTATTGGGAGGTTTAATTCTGGAACTCCAAAGAACCTCAAATCTCGGACCATGTAGGGCCCAGTAACATTTCTCCTCGTACAACCAGTTTTTTTTATTTGTTGGGTCCTAATCTGTACTTCCACTTCCGGTGGGCTGGCCCTACGGTCACTATAGTGTGTTATGGATTCACCTGACGGTTGATTCAGACAAGAATTGTGACCTGCTCTGAAGTGTTCTCTCTTCAGAGCAGAATACTGGCTGGTTGCAGCTGAAAGTCGAGAGAAAGTTAGCGGCCACCAACTAACATGTCAGCAAGGAAAACTGGACAGGGTCTCTGAATGCTATGCCCATACCGTGACGCAGGTATGGTTTCTGCATACCGTAGTTTCTCAAAATGTGAGTTTGTGACAAAGTGACATGAACAGGAACACATTTACAAAAAATAATATCTAATTATGGTGAAGTCGACTCAAGAAGCAAGAGCATTTTGCTTCTTGAGTTCAGTTCAGAAGAGCAAGTAAGGTCAAATACCTTTCTCTTAATCTGTTAAAAAGGTCTCACATATCACATGCAGAAAACCCTTGACTCCGGAATGATCGTCTTCAATCCTCAGCCTACTAATTCTTGTATTAGTAGCCTGAGGAATGAGGATGATCAACATCGAATTCTTTGATCTCAGATGAAGAATAAAGCAGAGGAAACGCAGAGGCTAGCGCAGACAGTTCGCTATGACTTTGCAGAATTGCAGCCGGGTTAATCGATCTTTTCGCCGAATGATAGCATTCCAGACCGTGAGAGCACATGACAAACATGTAGGAAAGCAATGAAGCCAAGTTTACGCAGGACCTAGTGGTGAAATGATCAGATTCCTCTATCCGAAACATTCGCTTCCATAACATCATTCAACAGTTCCAGATTCCGAATTTGTTGTAAACCGAATGTTTATTTAAGCCAGTTTTCCGATACACTGACACAGAGATCGCATCTTTCTCAATCAGAAATTTACCACCATCACTCATGACACGTTCTCGTCTTCTCTACGTAGAATGTCTGTGAGATTGCTAATGGGTTCCAATCGAGTATATACGCCTCATGATAGAATGTCAAATAAAACTTCTCTTCCTGACTCTTGGAAAACAAACTTCACTCACTCCATAATGGGTATGGTCGACATTTCAGAAAGTATTCACAAATTGACATGGTGTCTCCTCACCCAGAGCGGGAACTGTTATGCAAATATTGTTCACAACCTAGAAATGTTCGATTGTGAGCCATCTAGTCTTCTAATTGTACAAGCTATTCTATCTGGTCCCCATGCTGCTGAAATTCCCTTGTTTCTAACTCTGTGAGATAAAGTGAAGTCACTCTGGATACGCATTGATGAGAGCTGTAATAAACCGTGCGCAGCAAAATTTCACTTCGATTTGCATGCACAATTTACTCCTCTGCCTCCAGTCAATCTAAGAAGAGGCCCAGCACTGACGACAGTGAGAGTAATGCGTCAGGACTAGAACCACTTGGTGTCTATTGTTCGTCATTGGATTGTTTGGATTCATTTTGAGCCAAACCACATCCTAATATGGATGTATTTCTTCAAATATACCAGCTCGCAGATTAAAATCTTACTATCTATTTGTCCCAGCAGTGCAGGTGCATCTCATCACATTACGTACGTGAAGCTCTCTATCAAATGTCCTCGCACGGGAGGTAACAGGGAAATAGATCGACAACCATGTTCCGACAGTTACTTTCCCAAATTTCTGTTTGTGAAAATGACAGTACACAGGACAATGTATGGAAATCATATACGAGATCTCAGAGACTTCACATAAGAGGTGACTTCACTACTGAATTGCTACTTGAAGTAGTTAGCATGAGAGGGTTACTAGAGCTAACAGTAGGGCTAATTACAACAAATTTATCTCACCTGTTCAGTAGATGAACTCCGCTGCTCCAAAGGGTTCAAAGGCCCTCTTGCTCACGGAGCTAAGTGATTTGATCCGGGCTATCGACTCCTCTGAAGCGGAGGACCTGTAGACATGATACAGGAGGATGGAGGGTGATAAAAGACTAAGTACAAGTTTTCTAGGCGCTGGACTGGAACGACATGGAAAGGGTCAAAAGGTTCAACTAGATGTGAAATTACGGGTCCCGGAGGAGATCGTGATTTTGATCAATCTATAGTTTAGGAGGAAATGATATGACTGGGAATTCAAACTGATGCACGAAGTAAGATCCCATTTCTCCGTCGTGGAAGACTCAGGAACATGCGTCTCATGAAGATGGAAGGTTCGGAGCTTCTGAAAGACGACAGTTTCTCCGGAGCTTCTCGAATTGGGAATCCGAAGAGGCAGAAGTTCTGCTGCCGGGCAATGTGATTTGCTTGAATCGCACCTGCTTTGCTTTCTCCCCCTGAAAGTCGTGGATTCACATTCCTGGAAGTCGGCGTCGTGCTCGCCTCTGTAGCCTTGGAGATCTTCTCGGACCTGGTGGTCAAGTTAGCCACAGTCATGGCCGTCTTTCTCATAGTCTGGACCAATCTCGTCATGGTACCGATCATCCTCGCTATCACTAACCTTTCGACCAATGCCATCCTCGCCAGAGTCATGGCCACATTCGTCTTCCCGCTCATGGTTGTAGAAAGCCTCACGAGGTTTGCCATCTTTCCTCGCGCTCTTGGTCTCTCCGATCGAAATCTTGAATCTGTCATAGATCTCGGACTCTCCACTGCCGATGCTTCACTATCTGAACTGAAGTGAGTCACTTATCCATTTGAACATGTACATTCACCTGACGATGCGCAGCGCACGAAACGGACTGCTCAATCGGACTCGACCGACCAGCTCTTTGGAACATTCCGAGAATCAACCTCCTCCATCTAATGCGCTGCCTGAGTTGAGTATGAGGCGGCCGGATGCGATTAGTAATGCCAAATGGTGGCAAAACTCGGGCCAAAATTCTTTGTAAGCCCATGTGCCTCGGACATGTAATTCCTGAAGGGGCGAGAAGTGTACGGCAGCCCCTCATGGGCCTCCACTAGCACAAAATTCGAAGCTTCGATCATGAACCCATGTTGGCGAAGTTCGAAGAAACTGTAACAGTGATACATTTCATATTGATAATATTTGATGCCTTGGGGTAGGTCATGGAGACCGGCCAGCCCACCATCAGTGCTTGGACCGCCAACTTACGGGATTATAGCAATCTGCAGGCGGCATGAGAGCTTACATGAGGATGTGATTCTGAGTGCGAATATCATGGTCTCATGCAAACATCAAGCCTTCGTCCCGTAAAATTGGGAACCTGGTGGGCATGTAGGTTGATCTCTGCCAAGTGGTGCAGTTTCCAGACGTGTGAAGTGAGAAGAATCTTTCGGAGGGGTCCACATTCTTCAGCAAGTCTCGCTGATGCTTCCATCTCTCCGGCTGCTCTGGGAGGTTCCTCTCGATCGAGTTTAGTCGCACCACAAACTGGCTTGGCGTAAGACAAACAACGCTCAATCCAAAGCAGCTTCAGCGTCTCGACGTCGTCATGGCATGAGATCCTGATCTGGCGAGCCACCACGATGAGGATGGCATGAGCAGCTTGAGGATGTGGTTCTGGAGATAAGGGTGATGTGGTTCACTTCTCAAATTCCCACGAATTCCCACTTCATCTTCACTCCTTGCTTTACAGCTTGAGGACATGGTCTGAAGCTACAGCGGGCACGCCGCGAGTCACCAACCGACAACGCATATGGTTTTGATTTGCGTTGCACTTCACGTGTTCTCTTCGACCTGAAGACAATGATGAAGCAGGCGCTAAATTTAGAGGTGCAAGTGCGTGGATGTAGTGCGCAGAATCCTCAGTGTTCGTAAGCTCCGTGAAGCTTCCTTTGGCTTGACATGGAGGTTTTCAGACCTGTTTGGGAGTGGAGTCTAACCTGTTTAAGCTACGTTGACTGCATGAACAATGAGTAGACACATCATAATCGACAATCATTGGCCGGTGTCATGAACTGAAGAAAGCAGAACTTAAATACTGGTTGTCTGTTTCTAGTCTTAACGTAGTAGATAATCGTGTCTTAGGCTGTAAGAATGTCTTGCTGTATTCCCTACTTGACAAAGTTATTAATCTGAAGATCTTTAAGCTCGTTGCAAGAGTGCTCAGTGCATATTATGTTACGTCCTTTGTCGCAGCGGACAAAATTAGGCTGCCTATGTTGTAAGGAATGATGAAATGTCCGTAAGATGATAATAGTGCGGTCCACTCAAGAAGCTATAACAGATCATGGCCTGACTCTTTCAGAAGAAGACCTTTTAGATGCACTGGTTTCAGTTTAGGAATCTGAGCTTCAACAGCCGGAAAGAATTTGAGACATCTCTGAATTAGTAGTGAATGTGATTTCGGGTCCAGCGAAGAAACCATGATACAACATGTGATATGGGGATGTTGTGAGCGGCCAGGTCGAAGTCCATGGGATATTATGTTGGGCAACGCGCCGATGAGTACATTTTCATTCTCGATAGATCGTGCTTGAGAAGTTCGATAAACATCAGACCGTTCAGACTAAACTTGTAGATCTTCATATTTATTTTTGCTCCGACGGGAGAGACTCTAGGAGCCGCTATAATTGTAAAGCATACATCGGCCTGGAGTTTCATGCATTTACGGGCGCAAATTCTGCTTGTAAGCAACCATCCCCCGGTCGATTAGTTGTTAATCAGCACCCTAATCATCCGAGGATTATATGAAGAAATTGATCAAAGTGATTCATATGGCTTATTCTCACATGTTCAGATTGCAGCTGTCCAGATCGTATTACTCCATTCCGATCTGGGTATAATAAATGTGGCCGCTAAGCATCATTTCAGATAAAGTCGTCCCTGTAATGACTTGATTCTATTTTCAAAAGAATATTCTCCTATATAAGTTATATTTGCAGGAGAATTTAAGCACATTCACTAGCTAGTATTCCGAAGTTTAGCAGTATACAGATGACGGCGGAAGTGCAAGAGGAAAGACTGTGCACGAAGATCTCAAACATTATTCCTACGTGATGTTGTATACATGCCCGTGCCCAGTCCTTCAGAGGGGAAGCAAGATAACAGACAAAAAATACGCACATGAACACCAAAGCTCTGCCCATGAGTACTCAGAGCTGCAACGCAGTCGGGTTCAAATTCAGTTACAAAAAGTGAATATTATGGTGTACTCTGTGAACCGAGACAACCACAGATATCAGATTACTCACTCTCTACGAGATTCAGATCCAACAATGATAGATATAATTTGAAATTCGTAAGACTTTATTCTTCACTTCATAATACATGACCCTGGACGTTGTTTTATCATTCACATGATGACTAAGTTTCAGTTGTTTTGATTTGTTCACGTTCCGGCCTCGTGAAATCTGCATATGACTTCAGAACCGGCTTTGATATCCTATAAAGAGGTCAAACTACCTCATACTAGAGAAAAATTTGTATTTGGCATGTCCTTGATGTCACTCTAGAGCAATTTGACCATGTTTTCTAACCAAACAGTACAATCGCATAGCGCCACTATGACTCACGAGTCATTAGCATAGACCTGGTCTCCCTGCCTGCTAACGGCTCCAGAAAATCTGCACAGCAAACATCGGGCTTCTTGCTATCAGCATTCGAATTCCATGGCTCGAAATCAGACTCATTCTACATCTCTGTAAACTCACAAGTCACTGCTCCACAAATATCTGAATGGATTCAATGCGAACAGAACATGTCAGACTACTCGCCTGTCACGTTAACAAGAGTTGCCAACTCTGAGGAGACGTCCGCTCTAGTATTGACCTGTGTACGGAGGTGGGGGAGACTTGACAGGAGGAGGCGGGGATTTTACAACAACGGGAGGAGGAGGAGACTTCGCTGGAGGTGGTGGAGAGGTCGGTTCGTATGAAGGAGGAGGAGGTGATTTAGCTGGAGGTGGTGGGGATTTCGCAACCATTGGGGGAGGTGGAGATTTAGCTGGTGGTGGGGGAGACTTCATAACAACGGGAGGAGGCGGAGACTTGACAACTTCTGGAGGAGGAGGGGATTTAGCTGCAGGTGGGTTACAATCGGGAACCTGAGTAGGGGGAGACTTAGGCTTGCAAGGTTTGCGACCCTTGTAGCCCATCGACAGGCACTCCTCGTCATCTTTGCCCCCATAGTTTCCATCTTTCCAACCGCCGTCGCTTCCTCCCTTGCCATCTTTATGGCCGTCTCCGCCATTTCCTTTGTCGCTAGCGCCGCCATACTTGCCGCCACTGCTCCCGTCCTTCCGAGACTTGCCATCGCCACTCGATCCTCCGCCGTAGCCTGTCAAGGCTTGAAACTCGAGCTCGTCATATTCATGTCCATGAGCTTCGACAGAAGCCCACAGCTGCACATTGAGAACGCTCACCAGAGCTATCATCACCAGAGTCTTGCATTCAAAGCGCCCCATGTCTACGAGTCAAGTGTTGCACTTTGTGTGAGCTATGGCTGAATCCTGCGTGTTGATTCCAACTCGATGATGATATTCAAGCTCAGTCAAGCCTCTTATATAGGACCCCGCTGGTACCACAACACACAAGAATAAAGCCTTCTACAAATCAGACTCCCTATCTGTGAGTAAAACTTTTCAATTATGAATAGTAGTGGGGACGGTTCTAGCCGGTATTGCGGTGATCTACAAGTCTCACCACGTGTAGATTTGCATGCTTACAACGGAGATAAGGTGCTGCCAAGGCGCGACCTGCAATTGGAACATGAATTCTCTCGAGCTTCGTTAAGTGAAAATCTTGCAGTGCATACATCGTGAGCAGTGAAGCCTAAATGTGGACAGATTCAGAAGACGAGATAGGTGATTGCTCCTAATCACACTGTACTTATGGTATTCTATAGTTTCGGTTCACTTGCTTCTTGCTGGCCTCTGAGATCTGGAGTAACTTAGATATGGCCCCGCTGGAGCTGCATCTGGCTTCATGATGAAGTTTCCGATTTTCCGGACATGATCACTGTATAATGGGCTTATAAATCTATTTCAAACTAGAAAAAGACGTGATTGTAACCGACCACCTTCGCTTTGAGACCAGTCAGCTTCCTTCTCTTTTGGGCATTGCAGAGCAATCTAGAAATGGGACACGACATGAGCTTTTACGATTGTTCAACTCTGTCATTCAAACTGCTGTGGAGAATCGACGTTGCAGTTGCGTGCAGCGGGATTCCAACTCTCTGCGCAACGTGATCACAAAACTTCAATGCAGTGGAGGGCACGTTTTCCAGTAATTTCATCTTTTTTCCCGGGATTAGTTGCGCAAAATGCAGCTGTCACAAAAAGGATGGCTGCTCATAGTGCCTGTGAGTAATGGTGAGAATTATACGACTGATCGGCTTACATCCTCAACCTGTGCAGTGACATAGAAGATAGAATCTCACCATATGGTTTCATTTACCTCTCTACGTTATCATGAACATGCTGCAGCGCTTCTTCGCACAATTTCGAAATCGTGATCCTAATTAAAGTGCTAAAAGCAGTTGAAAGTCCAGGGGTTCCAAGCCTGCGAAGCTAGGACAACACTTGCACGAATTGGACCAAAAAGTGACCGAGATGGCTAATAAACTTAAGTGACCTTCGAAACAGCCTGACTAGCTGACTGTCTAAACCTCTGAGGCTGGATATAGTAAGCAACAGTTCTCGGGCATTCAAGCAGAAGCAACGCCCTTGATACGAGAGAAAGAACATCTGAGGGATGCCGATGTAAAAAGTGAAGGTGAAATACATGTTTTAGGCTATAGAAACTTGAACGATTCTCGCGGTTACAGTACACATCACGAAGGTTTTCAAATCCTCTAGAGCAGAAGAATGGAGTTTGGAATGGAAACCTTCCTTTCCAGGTTAGTGGAGCTCCAGAAAGTCGTGTAAATCCACAAGTTTAACATGTTCTTATCAAGAGGTTAGTAGAAACCTAGTGATTTACTCAGTCCATGCATTGAGATCGAGCCCACGCACGATCTTCGACTCACCATCACCGACCGAAGGTAGTACATCAGTTCTTGCCGTTTCTGACCTAAATCAGAGAAAGCACCAGTCGAGAACTTACCGTTCCTACGTCATGTTCGACGGGAAGTAAACCCAGATGAAGAGAGTCTCATAACGTAACAAAATCACAAAATTAGTAGCCTCTGAACGTAACAAAATCACATCATGGGAGGGTTAAAAATGTGTGCATGAGTAGAAATAGCTTATAAGCAGCACACTTCAGTACCAGGACGGATGCATGTACTAAATATCCACACAGATGAATGTAATGGTGAATTAGTAGCCGACTACTTGAGCTGTCTCTCCTTCAAGAAGAAGATTCGAGCAAATCGTCCACATCTTTCTCATACAAAAACCATAATTTTAGATTAATTTTACGCTTCTTTAGCTTGAAAGTATCAGAATGTAAAAAAATATCTGAGGAAGTGCACCTTCTTGTGAATAGCGATAATCTTGCAAACTTTCGCCAAAGCCATATGCATAAGCTTCTGCCAGTGGGTAAAAATTGGAAATAAGACCTCCAGTGTTTCCATTTGTTCCTATGCTTATTAACAGTACATACCTGTCTCTTGTCAATCTGAGACTCAGGTAGTACTAGGCCACATCTAATCATCTGAGCTTCGCTGATTGTATCGTGATGCGCATACTCTGTACTCGCATGTCAACGCTAGAGCAAGGCCACTTGGAGCAGCTATACACTTCTTGTCTCTAGCTGTATTCTGCTACGCTAAAGCGATAGCCTTCTAAATCTGAATGGACAGATAGCATAATACTGGATTGTATATCTACGTGAGTTGTGTAGACGGAGGATTGGCTGTTCCCTCGAACATTTGAAATCCTCTCCGCTATTTATGTCCAATTCTAGCTTTGACTTTCAATGCTTGAGACAAGGATCTTGAAGAGTTCGAGATTTGCGATACTGTGATGTGGCTAGTGATTTGTTAGCTCGAGTAAATCCACTAGTTACTTAGCATAAGTTACTTACACACCTGCAATAATGGTCGTACCTGGATTAATTCCTAAACAAACTTGGGTCATTATGTTTTTCCCATTCCATCTTCAACATTAGATCGGTTCAGAATCGTAAAGGCTACTGATAAGGCAACTATTGATATTTTCGGAGAAGAGAGGAGCTCAATGGGTCCTCCCTGGACTTCCCAGATCTCAAGAAAGGGCGTTAATGGTGCACACCGTATTCCCTAAAGGCGTTCATTCTTATGAAATTTCTCTTTCTTTTTAAATAGCCAATAAGATCTTTCTTTAATGAGCTTTTAAGTATATTTTGAAAAATATTTATTATTTCATAATAAAAAAATCAGATCGAATAAAAAATATTTATTTAGAAATATTATTTTCAATAATTTAAAAAGTGTATAGGATTATTAAATTAATATGATTTGGTATAGGCAAAGAAATATATTAAATATATTTGCAACATATATTTTCCACATGACGTGGCTTCATTTTTTCTCATGGATTATTATGTACCATTGCCTGATTAGTTAATTCTTACTATCATAAACATCCATGTTTGTGGACCTCTGCACGTATGACCTGAGTTATATCATGAATGAAAAAATTGTGACTTACCCTTATTAACTTTCTTCAATAATGTATCTTTATTTTTTCTTTTTTCCCATGTACGATATATGATTTACCTTTGAATACGTTGGATACGGGGCTCGGTGTGTGGAGCACCATCAGATCCCTCGGGCCATTCGGCCGTATTGAGAAGGGGCATGAAACATTTATTTATATAACTCATTTGCCATGCGATAATTACCTATAGTGGCATCAGAAATATGAACTTTTGCATATCATGAACAAATAAATCTATCAAAGTGAGCATTGCTTGGATTTGCTTTGAAATGTACTTGAGACCAACTATACATAAGATTAATGCTGAATACCTACAATTATGTGATATTCCTGGCTAGAAATCCAAGAAATGACACTCAAGTTCTTGAAAGAAAAAGATGTTAAAAGTAGTCTTATATATTCGAAAAAAAAATTATTAATATTCTGATGTTTTAACTTTGAAAAATTATGAAACAATGAATGTAAATTTCAATTGTATTATGGGAGAACGCGAAAAAGAATGTCCTTATTTTTTACGAAGGTTTTTTTCTTTCTATTACATCATATTATACAGATTGAATAAGTTGATTTCACAATTTATCATATCATAATAGATCATGATGTATTGGGATGACACCATCTGGTTTGATCATTATATCATTTGATGGCCTAACTCGTAAGAGAGCAATGTCATGTACTCATGAGTGTATTGAGCTAGTCCCATTTGGTTTGAGTGACAGTATATTGATATGATGTTCACCTGCTCTTTGCTATATTGCTTGCTACCCGTTTTCTTTCAGGGATCTATCTCCAATCTGGACAATGATTGCATTCCTTCCACACATACAGTAAGCGCAATCATATCATCATTACGGACATGATCAGATGGAACAGAACGTGAACAGAGCTTACAATCAGCGGGTCAATACATGCCAGATTAGTAGCCAGCTTGTAAATGTTTGAAGTACCGTACATCATTGCACTGGTCGGAATTTTAGGCTGACTTTCATCACGCCGGCACAAATTGAGTTGTGTCATGAATAATCAGCAGAGCGATAAATTAAGTATCTTCGTTGACATAACTCGAAGGAGTCACTTTTTGGCTAGAATAGAAGTCTAAGCACAGTTTCGATAAGGTCAACGTCAACTGATGGGAAGCAGTGAGGCAGCCTCCGGAGCTTACTTAGATAGTTACAGTCCTCCATAACCAGTTCGATACCCAGAGACTGAATAGATTTATAGGATATGATGATGATCTTGTTAGAAAGCAGAAATGCAAGACAGATTTTCCAGCAAGAAGAATCGTAGAGGATAAATGAATGACTGAATGCTCTCCGTCTACAGTCGTAAAATCTTTCATGTTACAGTTTACATATTGCAGCCCAAACAAAATACAAAACGTTTGAGAGTCTGAGGTAACAGTAAAGGTTACTATTTAGTAGACTTCCTAACTTTACAGCTGTCATGTCGGTAGATTGAACTTGGGATTTGATTCTACTTAACAAACACAGAATATAACATGCTCGTCTACAGATCGATTTCTTCCTTTTAACGAGTAAAATCTAAGTTGGCAACTTGTATTGGCATCGGGCTACATCGGGCTAACGCGTTGCTCTCGGCGATGATAACAAAGAATCAGAAATAGCAGCTCAAACAAAGTTAGAGTTGTTCGTTTCTACGTAATCAGATGCAAAGGAACAACTTCCGGTGCAAGAGAACAACTTCTTCAGATTGATTTATGAAATTTCAATCTATTATTGAATCATAATTGATATTGGAGGTTGTACACATAAGTTAGTTCAGATATGAAGACCTGCTGTTTTCATTCACTCTTCAGTCTCGTGAAAACTACACATGCTTACGGAACCGAATTTAGAATCCTCTAAGCAGCTAGACTAATGTGCATGACAATAAGATGGATGATACTGTGTAATAAACTTGCAGACCTTAGAGCTTCCAGAATGGTGGATTTGAATGTATCTTGCTGGATCGACTGTATCTTGGATTGATGTTGCTTAACATCTCACAGTATGTGATCACAAACCGTAATAAGCTCGGCTGCAGAGTGATTTCTTGCTTTTTCATGATTGAAAGCTGAGTCGGTATTGGCAGAGGGCTACAATGTGATTGCTCTACGCAATGATGACAATCAGACACAGCAGACTCAAACGAAGTCAAAACTGTTCGTACCTACGTAATCAGATCACATTCCAGTGTAAAAACACGAGCTTTTCCGATGAATGTATGAAGCATCATGCTAATATCTGAATCCATTATTGACATTGAAGGTTGTACAGAGAAATGAAGAGATGAACAGCGTTTTCATTCACTCTTCTGTCTTGTGAAATCTGCATTCGCTTACAGAACCCATTCTATATTAATCTAAGAACCTAAAGTATTGTGAATGACAACAGGTAAATTGGCCTCCGCCAAGACACCTAGTCACCCTAAGAGCACAGTGAACTCATCTATCCTTAAATTTTATAAAGCGCACTACAACTCTGATTCACACGTTATATAGGCAGTGCTGGTGTGATATCCTCATTGATGGTGGTAAGCTCAAGAGGCATTGGTAGTATCAATAACTGTTGTATTGATAAGAGCTTACAGCGCCGAGCGCAAGTCCGATCTAATAGCTGTATGTTGGTGGAGACTTGATCGGGGGTGGAGGGGACTTGACCACCACTGGAGGGGGTGGGGATTTTGCAGGAGGTGGTGGAGACTTCTGTACGTATGGAGGAGGAGGAGATTTTGCTGGAGGGGGTGGAGACTTCTGTACGTATGGAGGCGGAGGAGATTTTGCTGGAGGAGGTGGTGATTTGGCCACAACGGGAGGAGGGGGAGATTTCATCGGTGGAGGAGGGGACTTCACAACCACGGGAGGAGGTGGCGATTTTGCCGGAGGAGGTGGCGACTGAGGTGTGTAGGAAGGAGGAGGGGGAGATTTCACGACGACGGGAGGAGGGGGGGACTTCGCTGCAGGTGGGTTACAATCGGGAACCTGAGTAGGGGGAGACTTAGGCTTGCAAGGTTTGCGGCCCTTGTAGCCCATCGACATGCACTCCTCGTCGTCATTGTCGTGCTCATCTTTGCCTCCGTAGTTTCCATCTTTCCAACCGCCGTCGCTTCCTCCCTTGCCATCTTTACGGCCGTCTCCGCCATTTCCTTTGTCGCTACCGCCGCCATACTCGCCGCCACTGCTCCCGTCCTTCCCAGACTTGCCATCGCCACTCGATCCTCCGCCGTAGCCTCTCAAGGCTTGAAACTTGAGCTCGTCATATTCATGCCCTTGAGCTTGGACAGAAGCCCACATCTGCAGAGCGAGAACGCTCACCAGAGCTATCATCACCAGAGTCTTGCATTTGAGGGGTCCCATATTTATGAATCAAGTTATACACTCTGTGAGAGCTGTGGCTGAAGCCTGTGTGTGGATTCCAACTCGATTATGATATTGAAGATCGCTCGAGCCTCTCTTATAGGACTCCGCTTGCAACACGACACACAAGAATAAAGACCTCAACAAACTTCGTTTCTGTGAGTAAAACTGTGCAATTGTGCATAGAAGTGGGGACGGTCCTAGCCGGTGTAGCCGTGGTCTACAGGTCTTCGACCTATAGATTTGCATGCATACAACGGAGATAAAGTGCTGCGGAGATACGACCTGCCACTGGAACATGAATTCTCTCGAGCTTCGTGACGTGAAAATCTTGCACTGCACACATCGTGAGTAGTAAAGCCTAAATGTGGACAGATTCAGAAGACGAGACAAGAGATTGCTGCTATTCACACTGTAGTTATGACACTGTATAGTTTCGATTCACTTGCTTCTTGCTGGCCTCAGAGATCTGGAAGCACTGCAGCTGCATCCGGCTTCATGACCTACTTTTGTGTTTTCTCGACATGATCACTGCAATGTCAATTAAATTCTAACTCAAACTAGAAAAAGACGTGATTGTAAGCGACCAACTTCGCTTTGAGAGCAATCAGTTTACCATTCTTTCGGACATTGTGAAGCAACAAAGAGCTGAGACACGACATGATTGACATGTCTCATGATTCCAGGATTCGTGTGCGAGCTGACGATTGTTCAAGTCGGTGATTCGAGCTGTTGTGGAGGCTCGACGCTGCACATGCGTGCAGCAGGATTCGTACTCTCTACTCAATGTGAACACAAATACTCCATGCAGCAGCAAGCATGTTCTCCAGAGGTTAATCTCATCCACAGGGAATAGTTCTGCAAACTTGCAGCTGTCACCAAACGAAATGGTATGGTGAGAGTCTTTTAGAATGTGCAGGTTACTTTCTCGTTCTGTACAGTGAGGGTAGAAGGTAGAATTTCGCCATGTGGTTTCATGTTTCGATGACTTGGTAGCCAACCATATGAGCTGTCTCATTACAGATAAGAATTAGACAAAATCTTCGACTTCTTTCTTATAAAAGAGCCATAGATAAGGTCAATGCTATCAAATTGCTTCTTTCGCTAGAGATTATCAGATTGTAGAAAAAGACTTGAGCAAGTACACATTCTTGTTACTAATCAGACTCATAAGCTTGCTACATATGGATAAGCTTCTGCCAGTTTGTACAAATCGGAGATGAGACTTCCAGTAGTCCCATCTGTTTCACTTATGGTACGTAATTCTGTCAAGGTGAGATTTAGGTAGTAGCAAGCTGCATATAATCACGTGAGCTGATTGCATCATGATTAACAACATCACGACCGCATGTCGACGGAGCAGCAAGGCCACTTGGACGTCCATAGCAGCTTTAGACTTTTTGTCAATAGCTGCTCTCTCCGCATGCTAAAGCGATTGTTTTCTAAAAAAGGATAGACAGTGAGCATTGTATATCTACGTGAGCTGCGTGGACGTCTGATTATTTGTTCCGCAAACTTTTCGAAAGACACTGCTACTAATGTCCATTTCTAGGTTTATTTTTGAGTAGGATATTGAATCCTTCTTCATTTAGCTTGACTAAATGTATAATTCATTTTGAATCCTTGTAGAGTAACGTCTATATTCATGTGTCACTACTACCAAAGATAAGACATATAATAGCACAGATGAAATCACTTCGTAATTCATTCTTTTTTTTATATGTGGATTTCTTGGTCACGGACATATATTATATACTTCATCTCTGTTTCTTTTAGTTTATAGATACTTAGTACTGTTTATATAGTGATATATTTCATCAAACAAAGGTAAACTTTCACTTTATTGAAAAGATGCGCATATTTACAAATTTATAACCAAAATTTTTCAAAATGAAAAAGACAATGTTTAAGTTAATGTTTTTGGTATTAGTTATATAATTATTAATGATGAGAATTTTAATTAGCTAAATACTTCTAAAAAAGTCAATTTTCATGTGATTAGATTAACAAAAAAAAATTTATATTCGTCTGAAATCCATAAACAGAAAAAATTTTGAACGTGATATATATTTTCTGATAAATCTTGCTGGATATTATAAAATCTGCATTGTGTTCAAAAAATATGAAGGTTTCTAATTCATTGGATCATGTAGTTCATTGCGTTCAAAATTGTCTCAATATTAACAATGTCATGTGATATTTGTAAAAAAAATTATTTACCAAGTTATGACAATAAATTTGATAGTTTCCATAAACCTGGTTGTCATTTTAATATAGTTTGATTGAATCTTTAGACTATATCATTGTAATATATAATAATAAACTATAAATGATCAGAAAAAATTTATGATCTTATTCGAAATAAAAATTTCTTATTTTATTATGAATTCAAAATTTAAATTGTAATTTTCACTTTGAAATTTTAAATGATACAAAATCTAAGATTTTAATCTAGATTATGAAATAAAATTATAAATCCAAGCTATCATTGATAAAAATATATCTATAATAAATTGAAAAAATCATTTCTAATCCCACACATTGTTCTAAATGAAAAAGTTTTTATATAAACTATAAACTACAAAACCAGACGTCAACCAATGCTGATAATTGAGTGAGCCTTGTATCGTACTAAGAAGGTTATACTCCTTCATAATCAGTTGGCTGTCCAACAACTCATTTGAATTGTAGGATTTGTTGATGACCGTGATAGAAAGCAGAACTTCCCACCATTTACGGATAGTGGACAAATCGATGACCCAATGACCGAATGCTCTCCGTTGAAATCTAAAGTCGACGAAGATGCCCACAGATGATACCAAACGTTTGAGAAATAACAGCAGCAAACATGGATATTAAATTAATAGACTTGCAGATGTAAGAGCTACCACGTCGGTAATTTGACTGTAACTTGGGATTTGAATTTGCTCAACAAACAGACTGGAACATGCTCGGCTGCAGATTGAATCCTTGCTCTTGACGAGAAAAATTGAAGTGGCTGTCTGTATTGGAATTGGCCTACAATGTGCTGTGTCTGCAGGATGCTGAAAGACAATAAAAAAACTGCTGTTTCGAATTTTCGAATTCACTTACTCAGATGACATTCCAGTGTAAGAGCACGAGTTTCTGCACAGGTGTTAAAAACTTGATACGAATATCTGAATCAGAAATTATATTGGAAGTTGTATACAGAATTTGGTTCAGAATGAAAACATGAACACATTGTACGTTCTCATTCACTCTTCGGTATCATATGCAGATTTCATGCGACATCTGCAGATGATACCGAATCTAGAATCCTGTGCGGAGCTAAACGATTCTGTATGACAGCATTTAAAATGGAGTTCGCCAGGAACGTAGTCACGCCCGAAGCAAAGTGACTTAATACCTCTCTAAATTCTACAAAGGCACTACAGAGCTGGTATGATCTGCCGACCAAGGATCCAAATAAGTGCTGGTATGATAACCTCATTGATGTTGGTAAGCTCGAGGGGTAAGCTCTTATCAATATCTGATGTATTGATAAGAGCTTACAGCCGCGGGCGCAAGTCCGATCTAGTAGTATGGAACTGTGTATGGTGGTGGGGGAGACTTGATCGGGGGTGGAGGGGACTTGACTACCACTGGAGGAGGTGGGGATTTTGCGGGAGGTGGTGGAGACTTCTGTACGTATGGAGGAGGAGGAGATTTTGCTGGAGGCGGAGGGGATTTGACTACCACTGGAGGAGGTGGGGATTTTACGGGAGGCGGTGGAGACTTCTGTGCGTACGGAGGAGGAGGAGATTTTGCTGGAGGAGGTGGTGATTTGGCCACAACGGGAGGAGGGGGAGATTTCATCGGTGGAGGAGGGGACTTGACAACCACGGGAGGAGGTGGCGATTTTGCCGGTGGTGGCGGCGACCGAGGTGAGTATGAAGGAGGAGGGGGAGATTTCACGACGACGGGAGGCGGCGGAGACTTGACAGGAGGCGGCGGCGATTTCACAACAACTGGAGGAGGGGGGGATTTCTTCGGAGGTGGTGGAGACTTGGGGCCCTGGGGAGGGGGAGATTTTGCAGGAGGAGGAGACACGGGCTTGCAGGGCTTGCGGCCCTTGTACCCCATTGCGGTGCAATCCTTGTGGTCTTTGTCTTTGCCGTCGTGATCATCATTGTCGTCGTGATGACCGTCTTTACCGTCGTTGCCGTTCCCGTGGTCTCCCTTATCGTCATGGCCATCCTTGCCATCCTTGCCGTCTTTGCCATCGCCTTTGTCACGTCCATGGCCATCCTTGCCGTCACTGCCGTCTTTGCCGTCGCCTTTGTCACGTCCATGGCCATCCTTGCCGTCACTGCCGTCTTTGCCGTCGCCTTTGTCACGTCCATTGCCATCCTTTCCATCACTGCCGTCCTTGCCATCGCCTTTGTCACGTCCATGGCCATCCTTGCCGTCACTGCCGTCCTTGCCGTCGCCACTCGATCCTCCGCCGTAGCCTGTCAAGGCTTGAAACTCTAGTCCGTCATGTTCATCGTCAAGGGCTTCGACAGAGGCCCATAACTGCAGAGCGATGACGCTCACCAGAGCTACGATCAACAGAGTCTTGCATCTAAAGCGCCCCATGTCTCTCAGTTGAGTACTAAGAATCCGTATGAGCTGCGAGTGGACTCGAACTCGATTATGATAGTCGACTGCACTTGAGCTTCTTATATAGGACTCCAGTGACTACATTACGAGGCAAATAGACTCACGACGACTGAGTTACTCTATACACTAGAGTAACTCAGATCGATTGCATTTTGGCCAGTAAGTGTAGTAGTGGAGACATCGAGGCGTTATGGTGGGGTACATTCGGACTTCACGGACCGATCAGTTGCCCAGGTGGCGACATGAATTCTCTCGAGCTCCGTGACGTGAAATCCATGCGGCGAGTATGTCGTGAGTAATGTATGCTAAATGTGGACAGGACCGGAAGAAGAGACAAGCCACAGTATTCTTCTAGCTTGTAAAATTTACCGGTCCGCTGTTTTTCTTATTCATCTTGCTGCTTGCTGGCTTCATGTGGTTGGAGAAGGCACAACGTGGGGCGACGACGGCTCGATCAATTCTCGGATCTTCACGGCTGAACATGTTTAAGACGGATATATCATACTACACTGCATTGTGATTGTTACCATAATTTTTGACAATTATTTATAAGACACTGAGGTTACTTTATTATGTACACAATGAACTAACACCACATTTGAAACATATAATCTAATAAGCATTAAGACATTTCGGACTTGTATATAATATAGGTAATATATAATATTATATATTACCAAAAATTTGGTTATCTCAAGCAAATCATGTATCAGTAGAGAAAAAACAATGTTGTCCCGGATGGATTGTATGTAACATTCTCTTCCACCATCAAGACCATAAAGCACCCTCAGGGCTGCTTTAATATAGGTGTTGATTTCAAAGCTAACGTCTTACTAAAGAAAGGAGAGGTAAAGAGGTGTCTGTGTTTCTAAAATTATCGGGTTATGTTACGGGCTGAATTTTTAGGTAGAGTATGTTGAAGGAACTCTATTATGCACCAAAAGTTTTGATTCATGGGGTTAACTGCACAGGTTGAAGAAAGTGCACACGCATTGACCAAAAGTAGATATATCATTATGTGAATAGATTCTATATTTTTTATTATAATCAAATTACCACTTTGAGAAGGCTGGATAGTCAGCTCTGAACTTACGTAGAAATCTTTTGAAATCTTTGCCCGTGAAAGTTATGGGTTTCATACTCAGAGTTCAGAGATACAATAAAATGTATGTAATAAGTGATCAATTGTTAATCGAATTTGCTCTAAACCTTGTCAAAACATTATCACTCCTATTCTGACCGCTGACTTCTTATCCATTATCAAATTTTTAGAAAGAAGGCTCGCAGTCTGATCCTCGCCATACAATCAGTAAGTTCTGTTTGAGTGTAGCTGTCTTAATAAAACGTCGAGCTCAATGTCTTTCACTCGTTCCGCATCGTTCCTATGACAACATAGGACCGATTGACTTCTATAAAGGCACTCCTTCTGAATGGTAGCTTGAATCGGTCGCAAATTCAGAGACACAACTTTCGATAACTAGATACCCCAATCAGTCATGTACTCCTGGGAGTTTGTCATGGCTGTAGTACTTGAGAAAATGCTCCTTGAAATCAAAGTCTGAGATGTTTACATATTTATCGCATTTCCATTTTCGGTTATGTAGGTAAATATCATTCAGGGGTAGTGTTGGTGAGCAGAAGCTCAAAAACACGTACTTATGAGCTAATCTGCAAAAATAATATCCGACGTAAACTGTACACCTTAAACCAAAAGCCTTAGCTCTACCATCTCAATATTACTAAGAGAAACCATCCACTCTGCACCACAGCTTCACGTTAACTTACGGGTTCTTAAAGTTCCAGATACAAATCTCATGATTAGGAAAATTCTCTCCTCCTCCCCCTTGTGCTCCGGTTGCTCAGAATAGTCCACATCCTCCTCCACGAGAGCGTAGTGTCTAGGTTATAGCAAATTGACTGATGTAAGAAACAGTTCTACCAGTTCAATCAGCCTCAATTCAGCGAATCACATCTGAAACTGCTCGGAACCATTGGAGTCAGTAGATTTTGTCAAAAATTTATCTGGTCTGAAACACGTCTAGGAAAACATGTTCTGTGGTCATGATCTTATCCAGGAACTCGAGAATTGATCGAGCCGTTGTCGCCCCACGTTGTACCTTCTCCAACGACAGGAAGCCAGCAAGCAGCAAGATGAATAAGAAAAACAGCGGACGGGAAAATTCTACAAGCTAGGAGAATACTGTGACTTGTCTCTTCTTCCGGTCCTGTCCACATTTAGCATATATTACTCACGACATACTCGCCGCATGGATTTCACGTCACGGAGCTCGAGAGAATTCATGTCGCCACCTGGGCAACTGATCGGTCCGTGAAGTCCGAATGTACCCCACCATAACGCCTCGATGTCTCCACTACTACACTTACCGGCCAAAATGCAATCGATCTGAGATACTCTAGTGTATAGAGTAACTCAATCGTCGTGAGTCTATTTGCCTCGTAATGTAGTCACTTGAGTCCTATATAAGAAGCTCAAGTGCAGTCGACTATCATAATCGAGTTCGAGTCCTCTCGCAGCTCATACGGATTCTTAGTACTCAACTGAGAGACATGGGGCGCTTTAGATGCAAGACTTTGTTTATCGTAGCTCTGGTGAGCGTCATCGCTCTGCAGTTGTGGGCCTCTGTCGAAGCCCTTGACAATGAACATGACGGACTAGAGTTTCAAGCCTTGACAGGCTACGGCGGAGGATCGAGTGGCGACGGCAAGGACGGCAGTGACGGCAAGGATGGCCATGGACGTGACAATGGCGATGGCAAAGACGGCAGTGATGGAAAGGATGGCAATGGACGTGACAAAGGCGATGGTAAAGACGGCAGTGACGGCAAGGATGGCCATGGACGTGACAAAGGCGATGGTAAAGACGGCAGTGATGGAAAGGATGGCCATGGACGTGACAAAGGCGACGGCAAAGACGGCAGTGACGGCAAGGATGGCCATGGACGTGACAAAGGCGATGGCAAAGACGGCAAGGATGGCAAGGATGGCCATGACGATAAGGGAGACCACGGGAACGGCAACGACGGTAAAGACGGTCATCACGACGACAATGATGATCACGACGGCAAAGACAAAGACCACAAGGATTGCACCGCAATGGGGTACAAGGGCCGCAAGCCCTGCAAGCCCGTGTCTCCTCCTCCTGCAAAATCTCCCCCTCCCCAGGGCCCCAAGTCTCCACCACCTCCGAAGAAATCCCCCCCTCCTCCAGTTGTTGTGAAATCGCCGCCGCCTCCTGTCAAGTCTCCGCCGCCTCCCGTCGTCGTGAAATCTCCCCCTCCTCCTTCATACTCACCTCGGTCGCCGCCACCACCGGCAAAATCGCCACCTCCTCCCGTGGTTGTCAAGTCCCCTCCTCCACCGATGAAATCTCCCCCTCCTCCCGTTGTGGCCAAATCACCACCTCCTCCAGCAAAATCTCCTCCTCCTCCATACGCGCAGAAGTCTCCACCGCCTCCAGCGAAATCTCCTCCTCCTCCGTACGCACAGAAGTCTCCACCGCCTCCCGTAAAATCCCCACCTCCTCCAGTGGTAGTCAAATCCCCTCCGCCTCCAGCAAAATCCCCTCCTCCTCCATACGTACAGAAGTCTCCACCACCTCCCGCAAAATCCCCACCTCCTCCAGTGGTAGTCAAGTCCCCTCCACCCCCGATCAAGTCTCCCCCACCACCATACACAGTTCCATACTACTAGATCGGACTTGCGCCCGCGGCTGTAAGCTCTTATCAATACATCAGATATTGATAAGAGCTTACCCCTCGAGCTTACCAACATCAATGAGGTTATCATACCAGCACTTATTTGGATCCTTGGTCGGCAGATCATACCAGCTCTGTAGTGCCTTTGTAGAATTTAGAGAGGTATTAAGTCACTTTGCTTCGGGCGTGACTACGTTCCTGGCGAACTCCATCTTAAATGCTGTCATACAGAATCGTTTAGCTCCGCACAGGATTCTAGATTCGGTATCATCTGCAGATTTCGAATGAAATCTGCATATGATACCGAAGAGTGAATGAGAACGCACAATGTGTTCACTTCTGAACCAAATTCTGTATAAAACCTCCAACATCATTTCTGATTCAAATATTCGTATCACGTTTCAAATAACTGTGCAAGTGTCGTGCTCTTACACTGAATGTCATCTGATTAAGTAGATACGAGCATTCGAGTCTGCAGTTGTTTATTGTCTTCCATCATCGTGGACACACAGCACATTGTAGCCCAATGCCGATACAGATAACCAACTCAAACTTCTCTCGTTAAGAGCAAAGAATCAATCTGCTGCCGAGCATGTTGCAGTCTGTGTTTGTTTAGCAGCTTCAAATCCCAAGTTACAGTCAAAATACCGACGTGGTAGCTCTAATATTTGCAAGTCTATTAAGTTTAATACCCATGTTTGCTAGTTAAAATTCTCAAAAAATTTGTATCCTCTATGGACATCTTCGTCTTTAGATTTGAACGGAGAGCATTCGGTCATTCGGTTATCGATTTGTCCTCTCTCCGTATATGGCGGGAAGGTCTGCTTTGTATCACGGTCATCAACAAATCCCACAAATGAGTTGCTGGACACTGTCCAGCAATGAATGGCTGTCCAGTGGACAGCCATTCATACCAGGACATAGCTTCATAGAACGATACAGAGGCTCACTCAATCATTCCCATTGGTTGAAAATGGGATTATGGGAATTGCGCTTAATTTTCTACAATAGAAAACAGCGATATCTTTCAGTTTAGGTAACGAGGTCACTTTATGAACTTCAACAAAAGTATTTAAAAAATTACCAAATTATTTGTATACATTGATAAATATGATAAATGAAAAAATGTATATTTAAGTACATCGAAATTCTTTAATTCTTGTTATGAACTGAAAAAATCTGATGAAGATTTGGAAGATAGAAGAAATTTTTTTCAGTTTTTTATTCACTTTCTTAGATTTTTTGAATCACAAATGTTATTTCATTGTGATCATTTATTTTATTGCATGCTAATAAAATTATTTTAAATTACCTTTGGATTTTTTAATTTGTAGTATGTATTCGTTTAAATATAAATTAAAAAAAGTATTTGGTTCATGTCGTATTGTTTTAAATGTTATAAATGTATGTAGATATATTATTCAATGATAGCTTGAAATTTTTATCTTAATTTAAATACTATATTTAAATTTTTTATCATTTTTAAAAATAAATTATTCAATTTAAAATTCAACTATAGGTACGATTCAGAAATTTTGAAAAAAATAAAATTTTAAAAATCTAAATTATAGATTTTTATTTTTATTTTTATTTTATATAAATTTTACTATATATTTCTATATATCATAATATTATCCAATCAAACATTATTGAAATGCAAAACATGTTTCTTGAGATTATCAAGTTTATTACAACAATAAAATACAAATTTTATCAATATTTACCATATCCCGAAGAACTTAATGAAAATATAGTTACTTTCCAAAAACAAATCTTGGATTTTAGACTAATGTAAAATTTTTTTTGAAATTATGAAATTATTATTTTAAATATATTACTGTGAAATATTATGGTTATAATTTTGAAATTATGCGCATCATTTCAATATAGTGAAACTTGACCTTTGTTTGACATAATGTATCACTAAAGAAATCTGTACTAAGGATCTGCAAACTAAAAGAAGAAGAGATGAAGTATAGAATATATATCAAACAAAGTCGGTGACCAAGAAATCCATGCATGAATCACAATATGATTTATACCCGGATTGCTAATATGTGTTATCTTTAGTGTTACTAGCAGTGTCTTTCGAAAAATTCGGGGAACAAACAATCAGACGTCTACGCAACTCACGTAGATATACAATGCTCACTGTCTATCCTTTTTTAGAAAACAATCGCTTTAGCATGCGGGGAGAGCAGCTATAGACAAGAAGTCTAAAGCTGCTATGGAAGTCCAAGTGGCCTTGCTGCTCCGGTGACATGCGATCGTGATGTTATTCATCATGATGCAATCAGCTCACGTGATTCTATGCAGCTTGCTACTACTTAAATCTCAACTTGACAGAACTCATTTACGTACCATAAAGTGAAACACATGGGAGTACTGGAAGTTTCAACTCCGATTTGTACAAACTGGCAGAAGCTTATGCATATGTAGCAAGCCTATGAGTCTGACTAGTGACAAGAAGGTGTACTTGCTCAAGTCTTTTTCTACAATCTGATAATTAAATCTCTAGCGAAAGAGGCGGTTTGATAGCATTGAATTAACCTGTGGACCTTTTAGAAGAAAGAAGTCGAAGATTTTGTTTAATTCTTATCTGTAATGAGACAGCTCATATGGTAGGCTACTAAGTCATCGAAACATGAAACCACATGGCGAAATTCTACCTTCTATCCTCACTGAACAGAACGAGAAAGTAACCTGCACATTCTAAAAGACTCTCACCATACCATTTCGTTTGGTGAAAGCTGCAAGTTTGCAGAACTATTCCCGGGGAATGAGATTAACCTCTGGAGAACATGCTTGCTGCTGCATGGAGGTTATGTGTCCACAAAATTAGAGAGTTAGAATCCCGCTGCACGCAAGCGCAGCGTCGAGCCTCTACAACAGTTCAGATCACCGACTTCAACAATCGTCAGCTCGCACACGAATCCTGGAATTACGAGACATGTCAATCATGTCGAGTCCCAGCTCTTTTTTGCTTCACAATGTCCGAAAGAAAGGTAAACTGATTGCTCTCAAAGCGAATTTCGTCGCTTACAATCACGTCTTTTTCTAGTTTGAGTTAGATTTGAATTGCCATTGGCAGCGATCATGTCGAGAAAGTGCAAAAGTTGAATCATGAAGCCGGATGCAGCTGCAGCGGTTCCAGATCTTTGAGGCCAGCAAGAAGCAAGTGAATCGAAACTATACAGTGTCATAACTACAGTGTGAAAAGCAGCAATCCCCTGTCTCGTCTTCTGAATCTGTCCACATTTAGGCCTTACTACTCACGATGTGTGCAGTGCAAGATTTTCACGTCACGAAACTCGAGAGAATTCATGTTCCAGTGGCAGGTCGCATCTCCGCAGCACTTTATCTCCGTTGTATGCATGCAAATCTAAAGGTCGAAGACCTGTAGACCACGGCTACACCGGCTAGGACCGTCCCCACTACTATGCACAATTGCACAGTTTTACTCACAGAAACGAAGTTTGTTGAGGTCTTTATTCTTGTATGTCGTGTTGCAAGCGGAGTCCTATAAAAGAGGCTCAAGCAATCTTTTATATCATAATCGAGTTGGAATCCACACACAGGCTTCAGCCACAGCTCTCACAAATTGTAACACTTGCTTCATAGATATAGGACCCCTCAAATGCAAGACTCTGGTGATTATAACTCTGGTGAGCATTCTCGCTCTGCAGATGTGGGCATCTGTCGAAGCTCAAGGGCATGAATATGACGAGCTCAAGTTTCAAGCCTTGACAGGCTACGGCGGAGGATCGAGTGGCGATGGCAAGTCTCGGAAGGACGGGAGCAGTGGCGGCAAGTATGGCGGCGCTAGCGACAAAGGAGATGGCAAGGGAGGAAGGGACGACGGGTGGAAAGATGGAAACTCCGGGGGCAAAGATGAGCACGACAATGACGACGAGGAGTGCCTGTCGATGGGCTACAAGGGCCGCAAACCTTGCAAGCCTAAGTCTCCCCCTACTCAAGTTCCCGATTGTAACCCCCCTGCAGCTAAATCCCCTCCTCCTCCAGTCGTAGTGAAATCTCCCCCTCCTCCTTCATACTCACCTCAGTCGCCACCACCACCGGCAAAATCGCCACCTCCTCCCGTGGTTGTGAAGTCCCCTCCTCCACCTGCGAAATCACCTCCTCCTCCTGTTGCGGCTAAATCACCACCACCTCCGGCAAAATCTCCCCCTCCTCCATACGTACAGAAGTCTCCACCACCTCCCGCAACTTCCCCACCCCCTCCAGTGGTGGTCAAGTCCCCTCCACCCCCGATCATGTCTCCCCCACCACCATACACAGTTCCATACTACTAGATTGGACTTGTGTTCGGGCTGAGATCTCTTGTCTATAGAAGTGGTAAGTGGATTTGGAGCTGCATTATAATGATAAGTTTGTTATTTCTCAACAGCACTCTAGAAACGAGGTCTCAAGTGTGGATTCATATTTCAGTATTCAAGCTATGTACTTTGTTTCCGATGCCTGAAGCCTGTTGATGATGTGCAGATCAGTGGAGAATATCTTACCAGCACTGATTTGGATCCGTGATCGGCAACTCATACCAGCACTGCCCTCATCACTCAGATCCAGGATAGTGGTGCTCTTTGTAGAATTTAGAGATAGATGAAGTCACTGTGCTTTGAGCGTGACTAGGTTCCTGGAGACTGCCAATTTTACCTGTTGTCATGCACGATCGTTTAGCTTCCTAGAGTAGAAGACATTCCGTATGTAAATTCCACGAGACCGAAGAGGGAATGAAAACGTCAAAACGTGTTCATGTGTTCAACTTCTGCGTATAATTCCAGTATCAACTATGATTCAATAATTCGTGTGGGGTTTCATACATCCATCTAAGAAGTTCTTATTTTGTAGTGGAATGTCATATGTTACATAGATTCAACTCAACAACATGTCCTCAACCACGTCCCTAAGTTCGGCTGGCAAGTCAAAGCTAAGGTCGGTAGCGACTACTGACGCTGAGATTAATTCTAGACCATGAACTAAACACATGAAATTTAATGTAACTCAATCTTAAGACGATCCACATCCCCTCACTTGCAATTGATACCAAAATCGCTTACGATAATTCGTAATCTTAAAATAAGAATTTATCTAAACACATTGCATCAACATGACGCGAGGTTTGTAAAATAGCGTGGATGAAACATTCTGGATTGGGATGAATGAAGTAATTACCAATAAACATGAGATTACGAGTGAACCTGGAGGAGATGAATTATGGTTTACTTAAGATATCCCGTTGGTTTTGCTCTATGTTCTTAACATTTTGCATATTTGTAACTTAGATGTAACTAGTAATTACATGTGATAATCGGAGATAGAAATTGGAAATGTATAGAGAAATATGTTTTATTATTAATATTATTAATACCAAAGCCAATCCCAGGGAACAGTAAAGCTATAAGTATATACCAATATGTAAATGGATACGTATTCTTCTTTTTTATTCTTATCTAAATTCTATTTCGAAATAATTATTATTATACTCTAATAAATTTTCTGAAATATAGTATTTACATGATATAAAAGAAAAAAAAAGCCCCAAGATTACCTATCATCTTTTAAAAAAAGTTGTATAGCTCATGTTCAAATGTCTAAAAGATTTGAGTAGAGACAACGGTGATGATTTTTGGAGTTGAATTGTACTAGAGTCTGCACATGATTCATGTCATGAATGGACAATGCATAATTGTAGGCGAAAAGGTGGCGTCATGCAGAACAAAACACGGGAAGTACTAAAGATCTCCGGACAGAAATGTCCCGAACTTTTTTATTTTCAGTGCTCATTTACTTTCGTCATACATTAAATCTACTTTCCCTCATTTACAAATCGATAATGTCTTGCACTATAGCTGGGACTAAATATGCTCGAAGGATGGCTTCACCCAAACTAGGCTATCTGTTCTCTGTACAGGCCCTCTCACTCATAAATCTACCTGTTAAAATGTTCTCGAAGACTACTGTACTGTCAAGTATCTTATCTATCTCCAGATTAGCAATAATGACTTCTGCCTGTGCAGAAAATGCATTTAAATCGCTGACTATGTCTAGCGCGTGCTGCACTCTCGCAGAATCCCTGTACACTTGTGTTCACGATATTGCGCGTTCTGGGAGGTGACAGCTTTCAGATTTTCGATACGTGGTTAGATGTGCGCGTGATGGTTCGTGGCAGCAACTGAGTCGAGAAGAGAAATACGGTACTCGAAGCTGGATGGCGGGTTCAGCTTCTTGCTGTGGTGCTGCGATGATCAACTTCGATTCCTCCAGTGATATCATACCCGCCGCGGAGGAATCGAACAGGAATGAAATGATTTTCATCTCTAGCTCATACCCACAACAGCTCGATTTCCGCATTCCACTGACTCCGTTGGCTTTCGACGTGCTTCAAAGAACATGTGATTGAGTTCCGATGTGAAAACGTTTTGTTACATGTGGTACAGAGGACTGTGAAGATGGAGTGATGACAGTATCGAGTGAAGGATGAAAGATTATATCGGAATCATCTCTTTTCGACTAATACTAGGAGAGTTCTTCACGGCCTAGAAATCTCCTCCACCGCAATCTCCCATGTCGCCAATCATGTCTCCCACGAGCAATCCACCCAGAGCACCACCTACAAGACCGGCGCCGAATCCAGGTCCTCCCCTGCGAGGCCGCTGCTGCTGGTAGCCTCCACCGTACTGCGATTGTCGCTGACCGTAGCCGTACTGGGGAGCACCGTATTGACCACCATAGCCACCTCCGTAGCCTGGAGCATATGCACCCTGCTGCATATACGCGCTTTGCTGAGGGACGTGCATTTGGATGATCCTCTTCGCTCCGACCCTGATCGAAAGATTTAAGACACCTCTCAATTCTCCTGTGCGTTGACTCCTCACTTGGAATGCCATGATCTGAGGCTTGTCGTTGAACTTCTCATCGCCGGCAATTTCTTGAAGGGGAATCGTGACAGTTCCTACGAGCTTGTTCGACAAGAACCCATCGCTTATGACTTCGAGCGTGATGAAGTATCCGGGCTGGTGTAGCAGCCGATCGTCGCAGGTCAGCAAAAGCTTCGAGTTCCACGTAGGGTTCAAGCCGCCGGCCTTGTCCACCTTCGTCGACTTCTTTTGATTCGAGTAGATGTACGCCACAACGTAAAATTTGGGCGATCCGAAGGTCTTGGTCTTGCGCAATTCCCCTGCCGAAACGATGTTCACTTCCAAAGTCCTCTCCTCCATGATCGCCGACGCAATCACCCGACTCGACACTCCGGTGACAGAGGAAAACTTCGCCAAATTCGACTCCGCCTCGCAAATCGGTGAGCAAATCGGCTCGACTGCAGATGCACCCGAAAGGGACTCTCTTCCTCCTACTCACCAACTCACCAGACAACCCTAGTCGCGACGGGGTACAATTGCAAAGATAGCGAGAAATCTACGAAATCTTAAAATGTAAATGAGAAGGAGAAGTGTAAGCGCGAAGAATGTCGCCCTGATTTAGAAACCGTCTGACGCCCGGGGCTTATAAGCGAACCGGAATCTGCGCATCGACGGGGTCTCATTGCGGTGCTGTCACTCTCAAAGGAATCCAAGCGACTTTGTTTCCCAGTTCCTGATCGTCTCGCAACACGGGGACGTAACGTGTGAAGCAGGCCCTCGCCCGTCGAGGGAGACAAGATACAGCGCAGGCGTGAAGCCAAATCTCTGGCTTGGCTGACAGCTGGCGGGCGCCACGCAGCAGCGAGGCCTGCTTCCTCGTTGTTTCCGGTTGCGATTCCGTCGAAAACGTCCGCCTTTTCGGCTTGCGGGACACTCGTTCTCCTTCGAAAAGCTTCTGCGGCGACGCTTTTTCGGTGTCGTCGATGCAGAGCGCAAGCTCCCGGCAGCTTCCTGGGGCTGTGGATAAGTGCGAAGCGCCCGTCCGGAGCGCCAGGTTCCGGATATGGAATCTTCGCACGCGCCTCCGGAAACGCGTCCAGGTGAATGATCCGTCCACATCGGACCTCGGCGGGAAGGCTCGTGGGCTCCGCCCCCGCCGCTCCGGGCTTGTCTTTATCCTAACGGAAATTGGGAAATCACAGAGCGATTTGTGGCAGATTACTGTTGCTTCCTGCTCCCGATATCTGTTATCTGATCCGCTGACGGCATTCGGCCCAAGTCGCCCGGTCCACTGGGGTTTGCGACGATCCAGTGGACAAGGAGTAGATTGTTTCCCTCGCCCCTAACCCGTGACGACTCGACGCCCCTTCTCGTGTTCGTGATATTTAATATTGAGGAAGACAAATTATCCGAAGCTGTCTCCTGCTTCACAGTTAGCGGTGTTCACTGTGTTCTCTGCTTCTGATATTTAATATTGAGGAAGACAGATTATCCGAAGCGGTCTCCTGCTTCAGAACTAACTGTGTTCTCTGCTTCTGATATTTAATATTGAGGAAGACAAATTGTCCGAAGCGGTCTCCTGCTTCATAGTTAGGCTAACTATGAAATTTAATATTGAGGAAGACAGATTGTCCGAAGCTGTCTCCTGCTCCATAGTTAGCAGTGGTGTCCTCTGCTTCTGGATTTTGAAATTGAGGAAGACATATTATCCAAAGCGGTCTCCTGCTTCAGAGTTAGCCGTGTCCTCTGCTTCTGATATTTAATATTGAGGAAAACAGATTATATGAAGCTGTCTCCTGCTCCAGAGTTAGCGGTGTCCTATGGGAGTTGCTGGGGCTGAGACAAGAGGTGAGAAGAGGGGCCCTGGGTCCTGATTTTCTTTCGAGGCTTTGGACAGAGATGATAATGCCGAAACCTTTCCGGGAGGTGTTCCGCAGATTCTGGAGCTGCAGGAAAACTAGTCTAAGTACTGTACCTTCCGTAGGATCCTGGGAGTGGAGTGGATAAATTTTCCAAGTTTGGTGTCGGCATGGGATTTCTCCACGTCGTCTCATTCTCGCTCCGACTTTTTTGCCCTCCGTGTAGGGATGGATGCTCACGGGTCGGCTAACGGCTATCTGAGGCCGAAAACTATACGAAAACTTGGACCGACTCTGCGTTTTCGGTCGATTATTTCGGCTGATTCATTCGAAATTATCCCCCAAAATGCCGAAATGCGTTTTCGGCCGATAGCCGACGGCTAGACGGCTAAATTTGAGTTACTAGCCGGCTAGCCCTTTGTATCGGGTTAACCGAAGATTAGCCTGCTACGTGACCATGCCTACTTCCGTGCACGTACCGGGGTACCCCTTGCTGAATCAGTACGCTGCGATCGATGTCTGCCATCGTTTGTGATTCAGGCCGGAATCTGAGATTCCAACCTTTCGCTGACGTTGCCCGGTGACTCCCCTTCGTCCGTTCAGCATGTGCTACACTTTCTCCATAACTCTAAGACTCGTTATGATCCAATATTTGATTCTCCAATATACATGAAATGAACAGGTTCTAAACTCCGGAAGATACGATTACTTTCTCTGCTCTGCGGAGAGAAAAGATATAGCACCGCAAGTTCCAGGAATGTGAAGCTGCTGAAATATGTGGGCGTGGATTAGACAGCTAATTGGACAGACAGGTATAATATATTTTCTCTTTTCATAAATTAGACACTTTGAAAGCAGCTCCTAAAACAGTCTTCGTGCGCGGCACCAAGAGAGACCCTTGACCCCAGGAGGGCCCATCCTGCAAAGCCCATCCCTTTCATTTGACTGATGTGTGATTTATTCTTCAATAGCTACCGCGTCGAGGATAACGACAGCACAGTACCCACGGAGATTCAGAGTTGGAGTGTAGAACACACACCGTCACACCTCTTGAGGAAGCTTCCCATCGGAGGGACGACATAGAACTATCTTCAATCATACATAATGCAATGAGTCCGGAGCAGGTACTTTGAGCTGAGTGTTGCGAGGTTGCGAGGCTTTGCCGACTTTAGCTGACGTAAGACGAGGAGGAGGAGGAGGAGGAGCTAGCGTCGGCGTCCACCATCGCAGAGTACGGTGATCGGACTGCATAGTGGATAATTCGTGTCTTTCTGTACAACGTCAACTTTCCATCATCCATGATCGCTAGTGCAGTACGTGGAGATGCGTTTCAGAGCATCTTCGGAATCTTGCAGTTGACCGCTGACTCGTAAACCTCGATAAGTGTCAAGTGTGGCGTGAAAACTATGCGCCGATCCGTTCCTACCGCTCACACAAAAATTTCAAGCTGTTTGTCGGTACAACATCGTACAACAGCGAAGCGAGCTCTCACGGTTGGAGAAAGTCATTGATCTGTGCAGTTTTTAACAATTGCAGACCTTGAGAGAACTGGTCCCCTTTCCACGGCCCCTGATGTCATCAATCAATCTCAGGCTGCAAGCATCACAATGTCCTCATGACTCGACAGTAAATTGCTACAAGTCAAGCCGTGAGCTGTATTCAAAGACCTCGGCCTGTACTTGGTTTGAGTGGCCTCGATCGCAACCAGCCGCATTTTCATCCGATGATCGAGTACTCAGGCCGGACACAACGTTCGACCTGAACTCCTCGAAATTCTGCGACTTTGATCTCTCCCACTTGCACATCGATGTCTACGTGCAAATGACTGCACCTGAAACTAAATCCATGTTATTCTAGCATCCTCAAACCTGAAGCTGCCGGACTCCAGATTGAAGGGCGTGCAACACTCTTTGTAGCGATTTTCAGCCCGTACAAACATCACGAGCTACGAGATTAACTGGCCCAGGCCGATACTTTTGATTTGCGAGAACGTGGCCAGAAGCGAAAGTTGATCCGTACTCTCACTATCTGATCGAGAGGTACTACCACAGCCTTGCGTCAACACACAGGAGCTTCTCGTGTCGTCAACCTCGCCTGGACTTTCCATGGAAGTCCGAATCCTGCGCGCCATCATCGAAACAATATTCAGCTTCATTATTTCCGGTGCATCGGAATTACATCTCAGCAAGATTTAAATGAGCGCAGGAAGCACCCGCCTGCTTGAACGTAACTGCCACGTAAATACTAGTCCACATCTTCTTTTCACTTGCATACATCCATCGACTTTCTACTGCGAGATCCGTTGTTCGATGATGGCGAAAAATCTACAAAAAGCTAAGGTGGAGACAACAGTGCATGAGAGTCAGTTTACCTCTACTCCGGAAGTCATTGCACTTCGTTCAGCTTTGACAACTGATACCATATCTATTGGATTCGATGGTGAAAATTTATGTATTCATCTGCTACGGCATGACAAAAAGTGCCTTCTTAATGATTTAAGTTTTTGTCCAGCGACCATTCCTTGCAATCCATTTTCATAACCAATTCTTAGCTCTGAGAAAGCCTGTGTTTCAACGTTACTCGATCAAAGCTAGGAAATTTTCTGTTCTGATTTGCAACCAAAGCTGGCTAAGCGCGTCTTGGTTTCTATTCTCTCTGAGCCTCTTCTTGTTCTCTTCTCAGCGAGAATCGATGGAGAATCATGAACTGGCGAGTTTCAACTAGATTAAGTGTTTGACTGAGTGAGCAATAGTTATGCTGGCGTAGCTCCGAATGTCAGCTGGTAATAGGATGACAATTTTTTTGATTTGCCAATAAATGAAACTACCTTGTCTCCCGTATCTGGTAAAATATATGTACATTAAGACGTGTTTTCAGGCTGAACTGTGTGTTGCTATGTCGTGCAGACAGCGAATTTCTCAACCTTTGTGGCAGTGAGATATTTTCAGGTATGCACCAGATATATCTTTATGTTCATGAATCTGTTCTTACGTACAGGAGTGGTCATTATATTCTGAAGACTACACCTTTGACCGGTATCTGAGCACTGGCTTTGTGTGGCTATCCGTTCTTTAATAATTTCGGTTGAACTGATATCAAGTGTTATGTAGACTCTCGAAGTTTGACACAGGCTTCCGTTCAAGATCCCTCGTGTTTTCTTAGAAAGAGTGTTGTGGATAACTCCTTGGAAAAAAATTTGGACAACGATATTAGTTGGAGTCATAGCTCTAGTCCATACCGTTGCTTGTATTCTGCTCACCTTGACATGGTTGAGATCAATCAATCGAGATCCATCAACGGTAGGTTAATACAAAATATTGATGATTTGCTAGGGTTCAAGAGGTTTTCAAGAGGTTCCTCATCTGGTAAATTTCTATTAGGAGGATGACATCTGTGGTCTCAGAGTCCTAACTGGGATTACGTACAATTCTATTCCGTGCAAAACAAGATATATTCGAATCACTTCGAGTTCTCACTTGAGCCAGCATGAACAGACCAGTGCTTGCCGTCCAACAACTTCTGAGCAACAACCACCCGTTTAGACAAATCATTGTCGACCTCGATGCGGATAGCCTTCTCCAGTGACACCCAATTGTTTAAAAATGAGGATCGGGTAAGCCTTTGTTGTACATCGCGTCAGCTGAGAAAATTCAGATGACATCGCTGTGGACGACCACGAAGAGCTTGATTCCCGGAAAAGAGGAAACCAGGTTCAAATAATCTGGTGCTGGAATTCGAGTCATCGAACGATATCGATGACTACAAACTGGAAGGATATTCCTACTCGGTAGGATCATTTGTGGGCAGGTTGAGGGTCAACAAACTTCTCAATCCAATTCCAGAGGGGAGAAGATGTGTCAGCGTTGGTTCGCTGATAGATCCATGAATGCAATTTACTTCCGCAGAAGTCTAATTCCGCTTGATAATCAACCGCAGAAATTTGACGGAAGATGGCCCTTGAATTTGTCATGCAAAAGATCCAATACCTGCAATTGTTTCTGCTAAAATTTCCAACCTAGAATTACTCCTTCCAACCGATCATGACTGAGAATCAAACTCAGAAGGCAAGACAGATGGTGTGCAAGCCAGGGAAGACTTCAACGCCCCATATTACTATTATTATGGCCGATATCCAATCACTCCAAACGTTCACTACGCCCCAAACTGTGAGGAATACTCCCACTGAATAGAGTACCCCTAGATTTCAGATACGGGTTCCTCCAAATCTCCGATTCCGGGCGTAATCGGAGTTCATCTTCTAGTTCATGAAAATCCTGTCCGAAAGAAGATAAATTTGAACAGTTGCTAAGCGAGGCTGGCATTGGATAGTCAGTCAATTTCTGTTTCTCAGAAGCTCTGTAAGTATTTTAAATGCACTAAGTTCCTCGGAGGTGACTCTCGTCAGTAACATTGGCTCAGGAACATATATTTTCTTACCTCACACTGCCCAACTTCTGGTGGAATGCTTCCGCTGAGCTTGATTTGTTAAATTGCATGCATGGAAGGTTCCGAAAGCCTGTGAGAATTCTCCCTAGTCGGACAGTGGCTCCTAAAATGGATGTATCTGGAACATCTAGTGGGCTTACAAACCATTTCTGCGTAATCTATGAACCTCGGATGTGAGACACACAACAAGCTCGACCTCGAAAATCTTCATAATTACTGAAACGCTCAAAATAAGGATCGTCCCCGTACACCATTGTTAAGGTTATGGGCGAACTTAAGAGGGTTTATTTTGCAATTGCTCAACGTGCTCTTCAATTATTGGAGTTATGCATGTGATGTCACTCATGTGCACATGTTTTTTGGACATCACTGCCATGAGTGATGTCCGAAAATCAAAATATCTGCAACATGCGAAACCTGTGGAAGCATAAGGCGGGTGAAGCATGTGAGCCGAGGGGTGCTAAAACTAGTAGTGAAGAACCTGAGGTGTTCATGTTATGACTGCAATAGGACAATATTGCACTTGATTTCATCGGCCTCAACTTCGAGGATATGATCAGATCATACTTATTATTTTGTTTCTCCATAGGGGGAGCGGAGAATCTGTTGGCCACTCATGACTGAATGTGGAAGGACAAAATCGTACTGAAAACCTATTTTTGATGCGCATTGCACACGTGGAGGTATTGTTGATAATATGTGCTGACCAACTTGAGATGCAGAAAATCCTAACCCATTCCGAAATCAAAACACTTGAACATACCTAAAAGATTCATGTATGGGATCACTCTTAGATGTCAACGTCATACATGTTTCCATAAGAATTCTTATAATGTGTGTTTGACTTCAAAAGTAATTCTCATAATGTTCACAAAGTAATATTAGCAAAGATGTTTGGTTAATTGATATCTTGGAAGATGATAGTTCTGGTTTACCTTATCATGAAATTTGTAAATTACAGTTTCTAGAGTTGTCTTGTTGATGCGACACAAGCTATTGTGGTAGTGGATTGTATCATAATCTATAGTTAAAATCTCAATTTTTATTATTTAGAGTTGACTATTATATAAGACACAAATTGTATTTTTGTATTTTTTCCTATCCATTGTATCATAATCTATAGTTGAAATTTCAATTCTTATGATTTAGAGTTGACTCGTTTATACAACACAACCTATAGTTATAGATTGTATTTTTTCCGATCCATTATATCATAATCTATAATTGAAGTCTCAATTCTTATGATTTAGACTTCACTCATTGATACGACACTTCTTGTTGTGGTAGTGAATTGTACTTTTTCCAATCCATTGTATCATGATCTATATTTGAACTCTCAATTCTTATGATTTAGAGTTCTCTTGTTCATACAACACAATATGTTGCAGGGATTATACTTTTCTCTATTATATGATAATTTCTTGTTGAACTTTCAATTTAGATGATGAAAATGAAATTTGTTGAGCAATTAAAAGTTTTGTTCATTGTTTATCATTAACTCCTTTCAAATTTGATACCTCAAGACTCGTTTGAACTCAAGACTTCTGCTCCACTCATTTTCATGATAGATATTTGAAGATCGTAAAATTTTTTAATATATTCATAGATACATATTTTATTTTTCAAATTTCATAACTTTATTCTTGTAATTTGAATAGAATTCATTGTTTGAAACTTTTGTATAAATATTTCTTGCATTCCACTTCATGAAATGATAACACCTCATTGTGAAAGCATTTTCTTTCACGTTGTGTACCATGTGAGAACCTAATTCGTAAATAAGATCTCATGAACATTTCTACAATATAATTAAAAACATGAAAATGTGATAAATGAATATTCATCATCATTGTTTATATCTCTAAAATTTTTATCGCTCTACTCTCTTTGTAAGCTTCTACCTTACAAGATTTTCCATTCAAAACAAAAGTTGTTTAATCTTTTATCTTTTGAAAACGTATCCTATTTGATTATGATGCATCAATAAGAGTTGATGCATCATAATCTGTTGGACTTGGGAAGCTTGAACTTAAGTTTCAACTTCCATTTTTCCAACTCTCTCTCTCTATTTTCTCATTCTCTATTGTAAAATTTTTATTTTCCAAGGCTTCCTGTTTGATACATTCATCTACTATCGCTTTTTTAATTTTTTCATCTACTTCATGATTGCATTAAAATTCTCATTCATATCGATTGATGTTACCATGTTTCCTCACATTTATTCTAATACAAAGTAAGTATAATCATTATTTGACCTTTTGACAAATGAGTCACAAAAGATAAAGGTGATTCTATCACAGCTCTATAGTACTAATTTTTTATAATTACTAACAAAAAAATATCTCCACGATCTTTATTGTCGAGAAACTGTTCTAATCTCTACATAAATATTGAATCAAATCAGAATATGTGGTTTACTATTCAAATTCATGAAACATTCAGTACATAATGTATATGGTACAATCACAAGTCTCTCCATAACTATTAATTAAAAGAACCAGTGGCACTCTCGACTCCATCACTCTAGTCATAAAATCTACATCCTAACAAGCCACAAGGTACATCAAAAAATGATGTTTCTCCATGCAACAAAGGTAATTATTTAATAGATTAGAATAATCGGCTAGTGCGGTACTGGATTCCTATAAAATTCATCCATATCTGCAAAACCATAATTTTACTCTTTTTCCTCTCTCTATACATGTAGATTAATGACATTTGTCAACCTCTATACACTCTCAACAATTGCATCATCATTCACTTGCTATTTCATGAAGAGTAATCTACACTAAAGTAAATAGTAAAGTCATTTTGATACCATTGTAACACAAACGCTTAGAGAAAAACTCATTCAAAAATAAAAATATAAACTTTGAAGATGAGAGATCACAATAATGATTCTCTTTTTCTTTCTATCGCTCGAAGTAACAAGTACAATGAGATAAAATCTTGTCCCAACCATCCATCTCACTCTTAGTGGAAGTATAACGTTGCGGATAACTCTAACAAGCACATTGATTACTAACGTGACGCTCCCAACTAACACATTTAATCTTTACCTAACAAGCACACGGATTGCTAAACGTGGCGCTGTCAACTAACACATATACTCTCTACATATCAAGCACGCAGATTGTTGACGTGGTAGTTATGACAAGTGCACGCTAAAGTAACTATATAAACATTTTGAGTAACCTCTACTTTAGTTCTAACTAACTAAATATGATTATTCGTAATGATCAAATTGTTTATTGAAAAAAATATGTAATTAAACCTAGATTTTTCACTCATTTTTATAAGAAAGTCCATTGGCATAGTGCAATCAAATGTCTTGCATT